AACAAACAGATGAATAATACGAAAATTAACTTAATTAACATTAAATTATCATTAAATTAACATAAAATAAAATATGAACATTCATGGAACATAATAAATAGTTCTATTCAAAAAAATAATATGTAAAAAATGAGATGCGATATAGTTACGTAAAAAATATGGTATATATAGTTAATAGTCATCTATTTATATAATATCCGTCTACATTAGATGACAAAGTCGGCTGATTGTGATAACAAATTGGAATAAAAACTGTGAAGATAATGATAATGTTCATCACCATGATAAAAATGATGCTAATGATATTGGTGATTGTGCTCTTGATGATTTAATGATGATGTTGATAATGATGACAGGCAAAATTTTGGGCGGGTGGCGTGATGGCTCAATGGTTAAAGGCGCCTGGTCTTGCTATTGCAATGACTGGGTTCGAATACAAAGAGATCCCCGCCAATCATATGCGATGTGTATGATGCGTGCACGCGTATTCATATAGGCTGTGTGTGTTTGTCGTTGAAACCTCTGAGGCAAACGCAAAAGAGAAAGATTAACCTTTAACCTTTTGGGAAAAGCGATTATGACCTATGATAAAAAGAAGAAAACGAACATGATACATGCGAAACATGGTAAAATATAAATATTTATTATAAATAAATCAACATCATTAGATGAAATGTTTAATTGAAGCTAACTTCAAATAATATCCCTATGCAGAGGCGTCATTTGAGGGGAGGCAGGGGGGGGCAATTGCCCCCCCCCAAGAAATCAAAATTCTAAATTTTTATGACAAAATTGCAAACACTATAAAATAATTATATACAATTATATAATTTATTATAATTATATATACAAAATATTGTGCATTTTGAATTTTTAAATGTCAAGCGCTATACAATTTATTTCATTTGTTCCTACAAAAATTCATGTTCTGTTTTAAATTATAAAAGTGTTAATTTTAAATTCTTTGTAAAAAGGATATATATAGGATATATAATTTAGTAATTTTAAAACTTAAAAAAATTTTGAAATTTTAAAAACTTTAAAAATGTATAATTTATTATAATGTTGCACTGACGAGACTAGGTAGTGGAAATAGTACTATATGCATACATGTAGATAATGACATCTTCTGTAAATAGGAATTTTGTTAATAGCATTAACAAGTTAAGTTTAGTAGATCGGAGAATTATTCGAAGAATCGAGAAACTATCATATAGATTAAGTACTGTAAGAAACGCCGTGATCTTTATTAATAATATATATATATATATATATATATATATATATATATATATATATATATATATATATATATATATATATATATATATATATATATATATATATATATATATATATATATATATATATATATATATATATATATATATATATATATATATATATATATATATATATATATATATATATATATATATATATATATATATATATATGTTACATGCTAAGTCATAGACCACAAAAGTTCGCCCCCCCAACCAAAATCTGAAATGACGCCCCTGTCCCTATGTAAGTATATACTCATTTTAGTTAATTCTACATAAGCCAAATGAAAAAATATATAAAATAAATAAAAATAAAAAAAAAGGATTAGAGAAACCACACTTTAAAAACTTAACAAAAAAAGCGTGCAATTTTTTTAACCTAACAACGATTAAAAGAATGAATAAAAGGACGAAAAGTGCAATAACATAGATAGCCGAAAATTACTACTCAAGAATTTAACGATGACTTCAAAATGAACACAAAGACGATATCAAAATAACATTGAAAACAGCTTAATTATAATCATACTTATTTTTAAAATCTATCTACTAAGAAACTCAGTTACTAAAAAATTACTAAATTACCGTGATTATGATAGACAAATGCCCTAAGTAGTGTGTGTTTGTGTGTGTGTTAAAATTATTGAATTTTTCGAGGTAGGAGACATCTTAAAACAAGGCATTATTAATTGAGAAAAGCATTTTTATCCAACAATTCAATGATGATAATAGTAATAATAATAATAATAATTATTATTATTATTATTATAAGGTTTTCTATGCATGCACATCATTTAAATAGTATTAAAATCGTCTGAAAATGAAATGGAAATATGAAATTGTATGAAAGAAATTGGACAGATGTAGATGGTAATGAATTAAAAAATCTGTTAACGGAAAAAAAATCTCAAAGCTGACAAAAAAAAAGATTCGTAACAAATTTTCAAATGTAAATCATTAGCAAACACGAGTGAAAAATGTTGTTCAAATATCAAATTAGCGAATAGCAAACACAGACAGTTGGATACATCAAAAGAGCGGAACAACAGCAACAACACACAAAAACACGATTATGTAGAATATAACACTCCATAAAATACAGCATACAAAAGATAAAAAATTATATTAAAACACGTAGAACAGATACAAAATGCATATCATTTATTTATTATGTATTATTATTGAAAATTTTACAAAAAAATTAACTGAAATTTTTAAAAATTGACTAAAGAGCTAGCTGACGCAAGAAAAAGAAAGTGTTTCAATTCAAGTGGACAGTTAACTGATGTTGTTTAACTGGCTCGTTGAAAATATTTTTTCAAAAGTTTTAAATCTTGCAAAAAAATAACTGAACAACAAACTGAAACGCTCTCAAATAAATAAATCTACATTGGATTGTGCATAATTACGAGCTGCTTGTAAGATATCTACGAGTTATTAATATTATATTTAATAAAATCATTTTTTAAAAAAATAATGAAAATCAATCATATAACCATAATAAATAACGCTCAACAATAAATACTACCAGATACTTCAAATAGATGCATGAAATGACCGTGAAATTGAATAAAAAAACTTAACGATTAGTTATTTAATCTTAAGATATGGTAAAGATCTGTTAGAACTCACTCCAACATCCAATCTCAACATAAATTTATCTGACTATGTTCAGCTTAGAGTATAACGCAGTTAAAAAGAATAATAAAAACAAAACAATAAGAAAAAATAAATAAATAATCATTTCCGAGATATGATTGATGAAATTTTGAAATTGATGAAATTTTGAAAAAAAACCACTTGAAAATTATAACTACATTTATGAAGAGTAACTTAAGTGTGACTGACATCCTCAACTAAAAACATCAGACATTTCAAAAATTTCAAAATAAAAAAACATAAAAATTAAAACGTATTCGAGAGAGAGAGAGAGAGAGAGAGAGAGAGAAAGAGAGAGAGTTTACAAACACAAACATATATCTAACGCCGTTCAAAATAAAATATATCTAAAAAAATACACCGCAATTTTAATAATCTACGCAAGAAAATTTCATTAAAGCTTATTATTCCGTTATTATCATTACAATGTGATTATTACTATGTATTAGGTTATCATTCTTCTAGCACGTCAAGTCTCACTCACTCTCACTCACTCACTCACTCACTCACTCACTCACTCACTCACTCACTCACTCACTCACACACACACAAACTCACAAATAATGATACTGAAAATCATTCTAATCATTATACAGCAAATATACTACTCGAATCAGTATACCTATTTCACATAATCGGAGCTTATCCTGTGAAAACATTTTTATACACACAATCTAAAACTTAATTCGCAATTCACATTATGTGTGTGTGTGTGTGTGTGTGTGTGAAAATGTGCTTGTGTATAAGTGTGTGCGTGTGTATATGCGTAAAATTGATAAATGTTCACATTCAACGGGGAAATTATTCATCCTAGTATGAAAAAAATAAAATAACAAATTTATCACTATCCCAATTGTACCTAGGTACTAGAGGGCTTCCAATCATTAATTCATTCCTTAATTCATACATACATGTATGCATGGATACATAAATTTATTCATTCATTCATTCAATCATTCATATATTCATTCATTATATTCTGACATAAAAATAAAATTGTTAAGTGTTATTATAAATTACACACACACAAACATGCATGCACACACACGCAAACACAACGGCACTCGTGCACACAAACAATTTAATTTAACCATAAAAATAACAACAACAACAATGATAATGACAAATAATAAAAATGTACAGAGTTAAAAATAACTAATAACTTGACTCATAACCAATAAAAATTGCGTGTGTTTGCGTAGGTGTGTGTGTGTGCGTGCGTATATCTGTGTGTGTGTGTGTATGTGTGTTTGCGTGTAGGTGTCTATGTATGTAAGTAACGAACAACGATCAAAATGGGAGATAATAATAGCCTTAAGGAAATAACACGCTTTAAACCAAGAAGTAAAATTAATTAACATGTCATTGAGGAAGGTGATGACGACGACGACAACGCAGATGATTTTGATAGGAATAAACGTAATGGCGATGATGATAACATGTTATCTCGCCATGATCGCGATGATAAAAACAATTAATCAGGAATAAAACAGGTAAAAATTGAATAAAGAAGATTGATCGTGTAAAAACGACCCGTGATATTCGCAAATACGATGGAAAACAATAACATAAATTTGTAGATTCTATAGATGCGTTCATTATGCTGATTATCATAAATATTAAAAATGTTATACATAACAATTAAATATAATAACAATATAACAACAACAATATTAATAACAAAACTAAACATCAGTAACTAACTGGACGTTGTACAAATTAAACTCATTAATAACATAGATAAGATGGATAATTAGACCATTTAGTATGAAACAATTTATTATTTGGCAGTTCACAAAATCAGCCAAGTGTGTGTGTGTGTGGTGTGGCGTGTGTGTGGTGTGGCACGTGTGTGTATTCAATATATGACTAGATCTAAAGTTAATAAACTTGATTTGTAAGAAACCTCCACTAAGAAAAAGTAGAATTGAATAAATTTTAACTTTGGCATATGAATTGACAAAATGCCAAAAATAAAACACTGTGGGTTGTGTCAGAAATATTTTTTAGTTTCCTAAGGCTAGCTAACTGGGTAATATGTAGTAAGCTGTGAGCCTATCCCTCAATAAATTGCCATTTCAAAATGGGCTTGAGTTTTATAGTGAAAGATAGATGGGGATTGTCCTGCCATGGATGTTGCTGAAGTGGTTGTTGTTGTAGTTCATGCTGTTGTTGTAATGATTGGTGTTGCAGTTGTTTGTGTTGTAGTAACTGTTGACAATGATGTACTGGAGAATTTTGTAGTTGAAGTTTATCCTGTTGTTCTGGAAGAAACTGTTGAAAATACAGTTGTTGTCTATATTGAGGGTTTTGAATAAGTTCAGTATTTTGCTGGTGTTGCATTTGCTGATGAGACGCAACTTTCTGTGGCTCCTTTAATGCAGTGACGTCAAAATCGAGACAATGATCACGCTGGTTATTAGTTGCACCATCATTACACTGAACATTGGAGACAGCAACGACATTATCGGCGCTGTTGTGGGCATCGTTGAATGTATTTGAAGCCTTTGTTACTTGATCACATCTGCTTTCAGTCAGAGATTCACTCAAATCGGGTAGAAATATACCAGAATCATTAGTCGACGATGACGTCGGTGACAACAATGATGACGTAATCGTCTTTGTCATCATCATCGTCATCGCCATCTCTGTATCATCACCCTCCTTATTAGATGTTATTGGGGAATTGTTTATATCATTTTTAATGTCTCTATTATCATCCACATTATCATTAATATCACATTTCTCGCATCTAATATCCTCATCATCACCATCAGTGTTTACAATATTTTCACGAAGATTAAAATTTATGCTATTATTATAATCGTTGTTATTACCATTATTATTATTATCATTGTTGTTATTATTATTACAAAACAAAGGCACAAGTTTTTCATCATTATCATCAGTATACATTTGAGAGTCAATTAAGTCATTATTGTTATTATAATTATATTTGTTATTATTATTGTTATTGTTGCTATTAATAGCATATACATCCCTGTTACTAAAATTAGAACGTAGATCGTCATCTCCTCTCACACAAAAACGATCATTCATGTGATAACTTTTACTGTGTAATGTGACATTTTTTATTTTATGACAAATGTCACTGACAACATAACTACCATCATCATTAGCAAACTCATCATTATTATCATCATTTCCAACATCATCTCCGCCAACGACATCATCATTGTTTTCAACATTTAAATCATCATCACCTTCATTCATTTTATTATCAGCACGGTCACAAACATCATAAGAAACGTTCATATCAGTAGCATCATTAACATCATCATCATTAGCTTCATCATCAACCTTATCATTACATTGAACAACACCATGTTTATCATCACCAACACCCCCAACAAATGCCACGTTATCATTGTTTAAACTTTCTGAACAAACCATACTCCTACCGTCATATTCAAACAAACCACTATCATTACTATTACTACTACTCAAGATTTTATTCATGACCTTCCCAAGGTCACTACTACTATCATTACCTTTATTATTTAAAGATTCATAATTATTACTGTTATAATTAATATAATTATATTCTTCATTGTGACTCCTATTCTCATTAACATTATCAAATTCTTTCTTGTAGTTGCTCCAATAATCTAAAGGATTATTATAAGTACTATTATTATCAATTTTATTAATATTATTATTACTATTATTGGAGTAATTATTTTCAGAGTGACAACAAAGAAGCTCATTTTTTCCACCCATGATGTTAATTATATCATTGTTGGAAATTCCAGATTTTTTTGTTTCACTTTCATGTAATGTTTCCTTTTCTAATTTGTCATTAACATCCTCAACACCTACCATGGTTTTGCCACGATTTTCATCCTGTACATCTTCATCATTATTACTACAAATTTCATGGAGCCCTATCTCTTTGTTATCATCACCACCACCATCATCATCATCATCATCATTCGTTGGTGAACTATCATCATTGATGATTTCGATGGTGGAATCAGTAACGAATTGAAAATTTTGGCCAGTTATTTTTACGACATCAGTCCTTAAAAATGATCCATCATTTGTGTCAAATTCATCATCAATCAGGCAGTTAGAACCCTCATCTTCATCATCACCGTCATTACCATCTTCACTGTTGTAATTGTTTTTATTGAATCCAGTAGAGGAAACAGTTGCATTATCATTTCCATTGAGATCCAGGCTCTCATCAACACTGATTTCTTCCTTATTAGATTCATCATCACTCAGTTGTTTTTCCTGAAGTAACTTTACCATCATCACATTAATCATGTCATCATCATTGTCTTCATCATCATCATCATCACCATTGTCATCCTCATCGTTGACATCGTTGTTGTATTCATCGCTGTAACAAACCCTCACACAGTTCGACTTCTCGTCTGATGCACTGTCGTTGAGGTCGTTGTTATTGTTGATCACATCCTCATTGACATCATCAATCCAATCATTGATTGAAGATTCATCTGAATCCTCAAAACTGTCAAACAGTTCCATGTCATCCATCGTGGCCAATGGTGCTATGAGGTTCCTAGATGATGATGTTGAAATGTTCTTCTTCAGCATTATGATTGGTATGTCGCTTTGAATGTTATCTAAGATGAACAAGTTATCCCCATCATCCGACTCTTCTGGGGAACTGACACATTGATGATAACTGTGCGAATTATTTAGAGAAGTTTTTTTGTTGAGGAAATTCGAAAGTTTCCGCAGTGGGGACCTGAGGGCGGAAAAACGAGAATGGTCATCATTGAGAATTGTCTGACCGACCTCGTAGCCATCTTCGAACACGTCTGCAGTTTCTTTAAAACAAACTCTTCGTTTGATCTTTGAATTGTTGTTTAAACTATTAATGCTGCTACCTGAATCAGTGCGCCTGATGACGGCGTTAATGCCGCCGGACCGCAAAATTGGCTTAAATTCGATCGCCTCGTTCGAATGCATCGATGCATTCATTTTGGCTTTTTTGGTTATAGTTCGTATAAAATGGCCACATTTTTATAAAACAACTTAAAATTTGTAAGCCATCTCTTTTGAGTAAAAAGCTCCTAACTTAAAAAAATTGTATCGCCTTTTTTAAAAACAAGTTAACATAAAAACTAAAAGTAAATGATTTAGAAATGTGTAAACAAGTACGGTGTTCAGGTATCTGGATAGGATTCAATTTCTGATTAAAGTTTATAGAGGCTTGGGCAGCATTCACGTCACGCATTCATCATAATTGATACAAGAAACCTTAAGATAATGATATCCATAGAAGCTTAAATGCAATATAATAATATATAATAATGTTGCTTCCAATCCAAGTCCCAACTCAACTTTGCGATAACATAGTTCATAGTATAGTATAACATAGTAACATAGTTCAATTCCTACGTGTTATTTATTGATGACACTACTTTAATTACGTCATTGCCTTATTTTATTCTCTTTATTATAAACTTTAGCTGAAGCAGAAACAGCTATTGAAGTCACATATCCATTATAATTTGGGGTATAGTGAATATCGTATCAGTCTGTTTGGATGATTGGTTCAAGCCAGTGGGAGTGCATGTTTTCAGGGTTAAAGTTATATCTCATTCTGAATTAAATTTTTCTCACAGTTTCGGTACTAAGACACAAAGTTTAACCAAATTTTATTGTTGTGGGGAGTTGAAACGGTTGAAAATTATATCGAGATTTTGTTTTCTTTCAACCCAACCCGCGCTACATGAGAACGTTATGTTATTGTTTAAATCAAGTGCTTCATTTCATTTAATGGTAGAAATTAGTCTAACTAACAAAGCGGTTGGTGACTGGTAGGATATGCAAAACATAAATATAACAATAATTGGTCCGACGCGATAATAACTAAAAATATTAAAAAGTCTACCATAAACGAGAATAACAAAGTAAAAATAATTCATGCTACAGAATGAGATATAATTGTAATTAATTAATGTATGGATATATGTGAGTAGTAATTAAATTAAATGATTTTTATATTGTAATTATCTTAATTTTCTTCAATTACTTTCTCTTACAAAACCTCGTTTTCGATTAATACAGTACATCTATCATGAATTAAACTTTTGATGCAAGTTACTCATTATTTTTAATCCTCTGACATCGTGCAGTTTATTTAAAAGCGATGTTTATCATCTTGACAAGCGAAATCTTAAAAATATTTTGGGTGAATTTTTTTTACTTAACTGATCAAACGACTGGTTGGTTGGTTGCATCGTTGATTGGTTGGTTAGACGATTAGTTGGTTGATAAATTTATGATTAGTGAATTAACGAAAGAGTACGTCGTAGGTTTATTCAATTATGACACGATACTCACACACGAATTTAAAAAAATCTAATAAATCTCATATTTTCAAAACAATGCGCGTAAAACAACCACGTAAAAATGATTAACCTTGCAAAAGAATTAAGAATTTACGTCCCATAATGCATTAGCATTCAATATAATTTGTGATAGGTCCCGCTATTGTATAAAATTCATGTCAACATTTTTACATAGAGCAGTGAATCTATAGAAATGCGTTAATGTAATTTATGGTGTTTCGTTGTTTAGCACGATGTAGGAAGTGCATGTTGTATTACTCGCCTTGTTCATATTGCTGTCGTGGTATATAACAGTTATACAATAACCGTTAGTAAAATCAAGGCAGATGCTTTCACGTTTTTTTTAGTTTTACAATGACAATTGAATTTGAATATTTATGAATTGAGAATTTAATTTGAATAAAACAATGCTGGTTTTTAATATGTAAATCATATTAAAAACCAGCATTGTTTTGTTAACATTATTTTCACGGTTATGATAGAGGTAGGATACACTAAGTGAATAATTCAAGTGACTGAAAGAGCTGGCCTCTCAAGATGTTTTTACAGCTTAATGTAATCGATAAAAAAGTTAGCGCAACTCCTGCTTATGGCATAAATGTTTTTTCCAGCATGTGATCAATATTTGGCGATTTAATAAAAAATGCACAAAACCTAATTTAACGTGAAAAAATTGTTGGGTCAAATTATGTTTTGAAACCTTTTTAGAAATTTTAAGTAACTATGAATTTAACATTCTTTTGTTTTTTTCTGCCAGATTTTCGGTAAAAAGCGTCAATACATATAAAATTCAACACAATAATTGTAAGTACATGGTTTTTACCATATAAAAGTTTTATTATATATTTAAGATATTTATTATTACCAGTAAAACTGGTGTGTTCATCACGAAACCATCAAATGCAGCCGTAAATAAAACTGCACACAGTTGAACAATGAAAGCTCATTAATGTTGATGTTGAATCATCATTTTTTCATCTGAAAATTCATGTTTCGACTAATATTGAAACGAAATATATTCAAAGTTGATAAATTTAGCATTTGTCGCGTGTAAATTAACGTAAAACCAGTTATAATAAATTCACAACGTTACATATAGATCTTTAATGAGTGTATAGTGTGGCAGTGTCAGGTTTAATATTATAAATCTTTCCTGTTTATTTTCATACTTTGTGAAGACAAATCCGTAAACCTCCCTGGTAGCGAGACGACAATATTATTTCAGTACTTCCTAGATGGGTGGTTTTACAACCTGTCTACAGGCTACTCTCCTCTAATCTCACGAAAATTGTTGGGAAAGGTAATTACTCGCGAAGGTTATTTCATGTTGACTCTTCTGCTACTACATCTCTTTTTTCGTTAATTACTCTTTGAAAATAAAACTCTTGCAAACAAAAAAAATTGACTAAATGAAAAGTAAGAAGTAAATGAGAACATGAAATAGATAAAATGTATAAATAAAGTATATGGTTATATACGATCTAGCACAAATGTTTACTAGCGAGCATTCACATATTTGTTTGCATACATAAAAATAAATAAGCACACGCATATAAAGAAACAAATAAATAATAATAAGATGACATGTAGTTAATTGATTTAATTATTCATACTCCGTTTCAGATAAAAGCTATGCAATTCTAAAGCTTATAACGTAAAACACTGCCTGTATATATAGCACTCATCAACTAAACTAATATTACATACGTACACATACAAATAATTATACATTTACATGTGTATATGTTTATATTGATTATATTTATATAATAACTCTAGCATAATGAATTGTTTTATATAAAAACAACCAATAGCTGAAATATTCTAAATGGAATTCACACTCGTGTGGGACACCGTTGGTGACGACGCGTAAACTTTACTGGTGTATATGTAGCAATAATTTGTTTTTTTTTATTAATTTTTAATTATAATTCAGTTAAAATGAATAATAAAGAAATACAAGAAACTTGTAAGATGATAATTTGTACGTTGTGCGGCGCTACAATTAGAGACCCGGTTACGAATGCGAATTGCTTCGACGTTTTTTGCAAATTTTGCATTGAGGATTATTTTGAAAAATTCACTTCCTATCAGTCATCGTTGAAGTCGTCTAAAAACGTTGGTGCGAATGTCACTTGCCCTGTTTGCGGAAAAGTTTTCCATCATTTATCTTTGGTGACAGGATTTCACAAAGATAATCCTGTCTTGAAATTCATTCAAAAAAAGTCGATGGATGGCCTATTAACTGACAAAGTCAGGATAAAAAATTATGTTGTAGAATCTACAGACAAGTTGACGAGGAGCGAAAGTGCTTTGAAGGACATTATACTGCGGATAAACTATCTACATGATCAAAAGGTTAAAGATTTAGATTTTATGAAACAAAAAATTAACGGAATTGTAAATGAGGCGATTCAAAATATTAAAAACGCAGGCAGTAAACTCTTCTCACAAATCGACAATATAAAAAGTATCTTCATGCATTCCATAAATGCCATAAAACAGTATTGTGAGCTTGTTCAGTCGAGCGCTAGCAAACTCTTAACGTCGTTAATGATCAACTATACTGACTCAGTGAATGAAGTATTCGCTGGATTGAATGTGGAAAAAATTTTGAAACGTGCCAGTGAAATTAGCAAGCAGCCAGAATTAATCAGCATTCCTCCTACAGTGATGGCTAAATATTCTTTTGAATACTCGTCTGCCTCCGCCGGTAGCCTAGGGGAGCTACGTCAACTGCCTGATCCTTACGTTTTACCTGAAAAACTTTTTCATGAGAATAATTTGTCTAAAGAGAAATCGTCGTCAAAATTATCTCCCGTGTCAAATTCCGTTGCGATGGGAGTGCGGAGGAAATGGTCAACATGTCTTCGAGATGCCAGCCATCATTCCTCCAAACCGTCGGGTGTTTGTTTTTTCAACTCGAATCAAAACGTGGCGGTTACCGAAATGGCAAAAGGTACGTTGCTTTCTTTAAGCACAACTGACGGTAAAGTTGTTGAAACGATAATTAACAAACAGAATTTTTATCCACTTGGCTTAACTAGATTAGAGACGTCTGGTGAATTTGCTACAATTGACAAAAATTCTAGAACCGTTAGTGAAGTTAGAAACAAATTTCTTAAACCCGTAAAAACGATCTTCAATTTGCCTCAAGCTCTTGGCTATTACAATGAAATGTTTTTTGTAACAGATTCTCACAGAAAAAGTTTGACATGCCTAAATCGGAATGGAAGAATAAACTGGCTGATTGGAAATCGTGAAGAAAATTTTTTTAGCTCTCCAAATTATTTATCAGTTTGCCACAAACATCATCGAATTTTTGTGTCCGACGAAAATTGTTTGAAAATTTTTGACACTAAAGGTAATCACGTAAAGAGTGTTTCTGACCCGAAATGGCAACTGAAAGGATCTTGTGTCGACTCGTGTGGTAATGTTATTGTCGTCGAGGACTCAAGAAACCGTTTGATGAAATTTGACCAAAATGGGGAGTACGTTAACGATCTTCCGGCAAGTCTGAACTTCAGAAGCGCAAGGTATGTCACGCTGTCAGATGATGACAGAAGTTTGTGTCTCATTGAAGCGGAAGGAAATGTGGTGATGTTTGATCTTTATTGACACGTCATCATCATTATCATTGAACCGTCGTCATCGTTTTAAACATCTCATCATTATCTGTGGCATTTATATCATCATCACCGCCCTCATCATCTGCAACCTTTGCGTCCGTCTTCATCATCTTCATCACGTTTCATGTCACGTCTCATAAAAGCGACTAACTCAAGGCATTAAAAAGAATATATTATAGAATGATAATATACATATACATTGTTATATATGAAAGACCGTGCATTAATATATATATACTGAACTTGACCACTTCGTAGAAGAAAGATTGACAACCAATGGTAAATGTGTGTGTGTATGTGTGTGTGTGTGTGTGTGTGTGTGTGTGTAGTGTGTGTGTACTGTCCTATACTGTACTGTATGTACTTTTTACGTACAAAGGATTAAAATATTATATAACAAATTTATTCACTTATTCTGAATGTTTTTCATGCAATAAATAAGATTTACTCGTTAACTCTCAACGCAACTCATATTATTTACACTATTACACAGCTGTAAAAAGTAAGTTAAATAAATCAGTTTTGACAGCGATACTTTATGAACTATTACATTTTCAAACCTTTTCAACTAATTGAATGATAATTAAAGATTATAAATCATATTTTTGTCACAATTTTTCATTCTGTAACTTTCGTGTGAAGCAATAGTAGGTACCTACATTACTCTCGTGGCGGTAACCTATGAAATAAAATATTTTCAGTCAACTTTTTTTGTCAAGTGCCTCAAAACTAAGCGTATGTCTTGTTTATTTAATATGTGAAATATGCTGTGTGTGTGTATGTGTGTGTGTGTGTGTGGTGTGTGTGTGTAATGTGTGTGTGTAAATGTGTGTGTGTTATGTGTGTACGTGCGGATGTTAACTAATTTGCATACATCTTTTATTATAGTGAGTAGTATTGAAATGCTCTTATTTTAAGACTTGAGCTAATTTTTATTTTTGTTGAAAAATTGAAATGCTACATTCTTCCCAGAAAGTTCAATAATGTATCTAATGAGGTATTAACTGTAAAAAATAGTGGAATTACTGTTATTGAATAAATTTTTTAGCATTTGGGTTGCTGTATATTTTTGCAAATTTTATTACAATTGTTTTAGATTTGTAATAAAGTAAAACAAATAAAATGTATTTTTAATTCTTCAAAAAACTTAATTGAATCGTGACGTTGTTACACTGGTGGCCTAGCGATTAAGGTTGCATGGTTCTGTCTCGCAAGTGTATACAGTGACCGGGTTCGATTCGAATACGACAAAACAATTCCCGCCTTTCACATGCTTCGTGTGTGATGCGTCGTTTAGCACGTATTCATGTGTGTTGCTTGTGTTGTGTGTTGTTGATTGCTCTGAAGCTGAACCTAGGAAGAGTGTCACGGACCTTTAATCTTTTAGCATGATGAATGACATTTGCACGGTGCAGTGCAATGCAAGCCTGCATATATTTTAATGCAATTGAGTTACATTCTAGCTAGATCCAAGATCCAACGTTAATTATTTCTAAGTATTAGAGTGAACATATAATTATGTAAAAGAATGTAAAGTTTGAGCAATAAGCGATGCATACTTCAAATTTAAACGCTTTTAAAGTCGGTCGTAATAGTTGAAATTAAGTGAACCAGTGAAGTAACATTTTTCGATTCAATTAATGTTCACAACAAATTCTCAAATGATTATGAATTTATATAATTATCACCAAATTATTTTTATTTTTCATCGTTTCGTCATTAATGTGAATCTATTTATTTGAATGTGAATCGAATTTAATGTGGTTAATATTTAATACGACGCATGTATGACGTGACACGGCCGTAGTTAATGCTACGTAGGAGTTTTTTCATTGCTAGTTCAGTGTCAATCACCCGAATGTGGTGATTTATTAAACAAATTATTGCCGGTTCACTCACCTAATCGTCATAAACAAACAGCAGTTAATAAAATAAATTGTGTTAAGTGATCGTACTAAGTGCAAATAAATAAAAATCTCATTTCATTAAAACTTGTCATTAAATCTGTACAATTTCGTCATTTGAAGGTCGTTGAAGAAAGTCTATAAGCAGGCGAACATTTTTTGGCATTCCATTTTGGTGGGTGCACTGCACAGAACTATGTGTATATAAGATCAGTGAGTGGATGGTATTGCAATGGAGTTAATTACACGTGAAACTAAAAAATGACAACCACACAACTTTGCAAAGGTTTGGTCTCAATCAATCAATCAATCAATTAGCTTATAAAGCGCTATTTCCGCGATGTTCAACAGCGCTCCTCAATGAATTTTGAAAACAGATGGGTCTTGAGATCCGCTCTGAACTTCGCAAGTGATGGAGAAATAGTTAGAGAAGTAGGTAGAGAGTTCCAGAGAAAAGGACCAGAAAAAGCAAAAGCAGATTTGGCAAAAGAGTGTTTAACACGAGTTAAGAAAAAGCGAGAAAAAGAAGACGATCGTAAACCGGGGCGTTTAGGTTCAATTAATATATCTGATAAGTACTTAGGAAATAATTTAGATTGAGACTTATACATGAACGTGCAAATTTTAAAAATTATTCTATAAGTCTCATAAGATAATTTGTGAAACAATTTTACGTTGTACACAGCATCGCCCTGTATCGTTTTTTGAATACACTCGACGAAAATCTTGCTCAGCGATTAACAAAACTTTTAATCGTTTACTATATAAAGTGGCATCTGCTATTTGAATGTTTCCAGTATAAAATAAAATACCATATGTGACGTTAACGACGCCTTTGTTTCCAGTATAGTGTATAATCAGAAGGATAAAATGGATCAATTCTAATCTCAAATTCAACGGTCAGTTGTTTTTAAACAGCTGACCAGTGACCACGTCTACAAGCATTGCCATTTTTATAGTCTGACGGAATAGAATGCCAAGTATGACATAAAGAAAATGTAAGATTTTTAATAATCTGATTTTATAGGTTGATTTATTTGATATATTTTATTCTTCATATATGGATATATATATAAATTCTATATGTATGAGTATAAGCATATATGTAAAATAAAGGTATATTCTGAGCATAGATTCGATATATATCAATTCTAAGTATATGCATAGAATCGAAAGCTTTGAGAGTTATTTTTAAACAATCTACTGTTTAGTTTATGTTGTTTATTTAATTTTAAAAATGGCCAGCAAGTGTGTGAAGTTCTTGCTGTCTCTTCTTCGTGCTGTCCCGGTTATATTCGTTACGACGATCGTCGTCTGGTCCTACTACGCCTACACCATCCAGTTATGCTTGTGTTAGTTCTTTAGTCATTAATTAAAAAAAAATGTTTATAGGATTGTTAATGCTTAATGGTCTGATTGGGTGATTGATTTATTTATTTTTATTTTATTTTATATTTATAATTTCATATTTTATTTGATTTCTTTTTATTATTAAAAAATTATTATTTAAATATGTAATTTAAATGAAAATAATTTTTTAATTTACTTAACTTAATTATTTTCAATTTTCATTCACCACTCAGTTAATGTTGAGAACCTTGCAGAAAAAAGTAAAAATTTAATTTCATTGTATTTCATTTGATTCAAATGATTTGAAATTGAGATAAAATAAAATAATTATAATAATATTAATTATATAATTAGTTGACATCAATATTTACTAAAAAACAATTGCCAACATTTTTAGTTTTGTACTTGATCTTCTATCATCTTATCTTGTTCTTCTTTTCCTGGTCTTTTTGGGTTACCGTGTTCACACCTGTTGCCGTCCCTCCATTTGAAGTAGTGATAATCCATTCAATAATTTTTTTAAATTCAGTTGTCTCTTTTTGATTATTAAAATATTTTATTTATTAAATTTCATTTTATTATTAGAATTAATTAAATTTATTTATTAAAACTACTAAAATTTGGTATATCACAATTTTTAATCCCAAAATAATACAATCATCCATTAAATCTTACATCATCGCAAAGTACAACTTATCAAGTTCAGATGTTGTTACCAGAGAGTTACTTGGCAGCACAGCAGAAAGGAAAAAGATTATTAATAATTTTGGAAAGTCATTAGGTGTGCAATGTCGTTTAGTGACTGGAGGTTTGTTCATTTTCTTTATTAATTTTTAAAGTTTTTAAGAGGATAGTTTAGTGATGTGTAAATGATGTTTTAGGGATGTGTAAATGATGTTTCAGTGATGTGTGCATGATAATTTATTCAATCAGATGTTAGGTTCTGTGAGAAATGCAACGCCATCAAACCAGATCGAGCTCATCACTGTTCTGTATGTGGCAAGTAAGTCTTATTAAATTTTTATTTTTCTTATTCTTTATTTAACTTATATTTCATTTTTTCTTTATTAAATTTTTATTCTTTTTATGCTCTTATTTTATTCTTTGCTCATATTCCTGTTAGTTGGTTGGCTGGTTCAAAGTTAGAACTTTGCAGATGAGATTGTTGCAAACTTGGACAAACAATTGTAGATATTCGCTGGTTTTGGTTATGAAAAACTTTTTTTAGCTATATTATGCAAAATAAATGACATCACATGACTGAATGTTCTAAAATGATGATACTATAAGATAATGATTTAAGAAATTTGTTGAAAAAATTGATTGAGTTTATTTACTGTGAGGATGAAATAAAATTGTAGAATTCCTAAAATTGTATCATTCATTCGTGTTCATCCTTCATTTTTTGCAATAGCTTCTAGGTATGATATGACTTTGTGTAATTTATTTCAGGTGCATTTTGAAGTTGGACCACCATTGTCCCTGGTAGGCTGGTGTGATTTTTTTTAAAAACTTGTTTGAAAAATCTTTGACGACGTTTTTTGAATGCTTTGGTTTGATAATTTAATTTTAATAATTTTTGCTATCTGCATTCTTCAGCATTCAGTTATTTAATTACTTTTTTATTTTTCAATTACAAATCAAGTATCTTCATCATGATTCATTTTACTAAATGCTCTTGGAATGTCTTTTAAAATATTAATGACATTTATACATTATTAATATTTTAAAAAATATATGACAGTATGTAGCTTGCTAGGATGTAAATTATTTTAAATTAAAAAATAAACGTTGATCTTAAATTGAGGTTAGCTAAATTAATTTATTTAAAATTAATTGTAAATTAAAACTCCAACTCGCAGGGTGAATAATTGTGTGTGTTTTTCCAATTACAAATTCTTCCTTCTCTTTCTGGTTTATGGTCTGCTCTACTGTCTCTACATATTTTCAACTTCATTCAAATATTTCATCATCTTCTGGGAGGTTGTTTGATTGGCTGCTTTTTGTTTTTTATTTTTTAATTTAATATTTTTTCTTTATGGTTATATTAGTAAGAAGTAATTTTTCTTAAAAAGAATCACAATTTGGAAAGTCAATAAAAAATTATCGTATGTTATTAAGTAAATAATATGTCTCCACCATCATACTAATTCAAATTTTTGTTAATGCTTGCCATATGATATGAATGAAATATAACCAACCATGCACAAATGTATATTTTCAAATTTTTGTCAATTAAATCTACAAAAGTTTTTTCAAAATTTTTTTCATCTTTTTTCTCTGATTTACACATTATAACTTTTTTATATTTTTATTAATTATTTTCTCCATTTTTAATCATTTAATTTTTAATTATTTAATTTGTTCATCCAGGGAGTAGCGAGCACGATATCATCCAACATGGGTAATCTTCACGTAGTTTTTCTCTTCTTCATCAGCGCCATGTTCTTCATATCTATCACTGTCCTACTGAGTTATCACGTCTATCTTGTGGTCCTCAATCGATCAACTATTGGTCAGTTTTGATTGGTCGGTCGGTCTGTTGGTTGGTCGTTTGGTTGGTTGATTGATTGGATGTGATGGGTCGATGGAAAATTCATTATTAGTTCATTAAATTCAAGTTGTTACTTAGCCAGACAACACTTACAGAATATCCATCATTTAATTATTGACAGAATCCTACCAAACTCCTATGTTTGCCAACGGTTTGAAGGATGAACATGCATTTAATCTCGGTTACAAGGCCAACTTTTATGAGATTTTTGGCAAAAATCCCAAGTTATGGTTCCTTCCTGTTTTTTCAAGGTTAGATTGATGTTTCATTGTAATGTCTAGTGTCATGGTCTGGCGTGTTGTAATTGTTAGGCCAATGTCAAGAAATAAATATTAATTAAAAATTTTAAATAAAATTTTGAAAAGTTTTGGAGATGGTTTGAAATACCCAATGAGGCACCCTCCAATATCAAGTAACTACAACACTATGGAATCCGTTATGAACGTTCCAAAGTAGGAATTTTGTTGTCTCTTTATTAGTCTTGTTTTATTTGCTGTTGTTGTCATTGTGCTTGTTGTTGTTAGGCTACTGATGTCATTTATGCTGGTTCAGTTGGCATGGTGTTTGTGGATATTGTGCACATGAAGCAGTAGGACACTTATTAAATTTGAATGGAAACGTATTTTAGCCATTGATAGCCATTTCTCGACTTTGAAACATTCTCCATAAGATTGAGTCAGTTGTTGGTTGCTCTTGGAAAAGCTGAATTAAGTTTAATATTTCTTAAATACACTTGATAAATATTACGTCATCCAGCTGTTGATTATCCTATTGTATATATAATTGATAGAATTGCTATTTTTTCTGCATTTTTGCTAAGATAAACTTAGTTTGTCGTTATTATTAATATTAAATTAATAAATATAACTTTTATACCCGCTCTACAACAGCATAGCAATAGATATTTACGACAGTTGTGAGGCGAACAAGTTAGCGGACAATCAGTCAATCTCAATAGATGACAAGCACATGCTCTTGAACGACTCAGCAATGCATCCAACCAACGACAGAGATTTGTCAATTGTTTCTGACTACACGGGATTTTGATTTTTTTTAAATATATTTTTTTAACAATTCATTGTAAATTATAGATTAGTTATTCTGTTTATATAATTTTTTTCTCTTAACTTCTATTTAATTCACTTGCTGAATCAATAATCAAACAAAAACAAGGATGCTACCCGCTACATATATCATTAAACATTCACTTTGATATATCTGTTGGAATCGTATATATCATATACATTCATCTATATATTTTTCAATCATTTGTTAAGTTGCCATTATCTGTAATATCTTGTAATTGGAAAGCTGAGGGCGTAGTGTGTAAATATTTTAATTTTAGATTTGAATCTTGATCGCTTTCTATTGAATTTACTTACAATAGAAATTTGGCAAAATTAAATTATTTTACTTTGTACTATCTTAATTTATTACGAATAAAATAGTTTCATAAATTCCAAATAATCTCTTTTCGGTCAACATGACGTGTTTTTGATATGCTTAATCCAAATATATATGACAAACATTTATGGCTTGATTGATTGTTCCATATTTATTTTAAACTAATTTTTTTACTGTTTTACATATTTATTTGTTAATTTATTTTGTGTTACTGTACGGCTAGGGTTATATTATGGATTTTTTTAAAGAACATACGATCTTTTATTTCTACATTTACAGTTAAACAAATTTATATATTTTCAATCAAATGGTTAACTTATGAGATTGTTAATTAATCAGATTTTATATGTTAGATTTCTATTTTCAATATTCTACCTTAAATAAAATATACCAGTTCAATTTTCTTTCTGTGTTCTATAAGAGTATGGGGTAGTATTATCAATCAACCAGACATATTGACCCAAACGCAAAGTTATAAAATTTTTTGTTTCAGAGCTTGTGCCAGGAGATAATATATAATCATTATAATGTTAGATGATGTTTTATTCTATTGTTATTTATTTATTGTCTTTATTTATTTATAATTATTTATTATTTTAGTTTATTCTATATGAATATATTTTTATATGGTCTTTACATGTATTGGTATGGCAACATCTAGGCTCTCGATTGTCAGGTGGTTAAATCACAGGAAATTTTAGACTGAAGTGTAGTCGGCGTGAATGTGAAACTTTGTAAATGGAATCGTTTATGAAAAATATGTATGCAACACTAAAAAACAGTACAAGCCATTGTATTTTTGGTTATACGCATCATCATCGAACACGTCGTCATCATCAAATATGACATCATTAGCTGTAGCCGCCACAAATCTTCCTGCTTGTTGTCAGCAACTACAATTTAATGCTGTCATTAACAACAACTACTACGATTGTTTGTTTGTTTGTACGTATGTTTCTTTGTGTTTGTACTACAAATTGTATGGCATAGTTTAACAAACGCTATATATTAGTATGATTCATTCTTCTGAATAATTAAACGAAACACGACTGACTGCCTGTCTCCACAGAAATGTGAAATGTTATAAACATTTAAACTCACACAAACGTGCACACACAGACACACACACACAGACACACACATACATGAAAAAATATGCATCACACATCGATATAAATACATGTAATGAGCATTTTTCTTTTTATTTGTAACAACGTCTGACATTTCTACTATTACCGTTACTATTGACTAGTACTATTACAGCTACTACTACCTCTGCTGCTGCTGCTTCTACTATTACTACTACTACTATTGTTAATAATTACAAGAGTAATGAACATGAGATTACTAAAATTACTAGCGTATCATGTGTTTTTTCTAAATTTGATCTCCCAACTATCCATAGCCTCGTATCAACTAACGTCATACATTACTCCCTTGCTAAAGTTTTCAAACTACAAATTGTTACGCAAAATTGATGATTTCAAAACAGACATATATGTAATACAATTCGTTCGTTTTATTTGAATTTTCAAATAAAGTTTTCATATAACTATCCATCTATTTATTCCCTATTTTTTTCTACCGACAAAATGATGTACAAATAATTATTTCAATTCACTCTTCAATATTCTTCATTAAATTTTCACAGAGGCATCAACAACAAACACACAGCAGGGTGTGCGTAAAGTAAATACACGTGAAACAACGCATCACACACATTGCATAGGATGATGGCGGGGACCTCTTTGCAATCAAATCCGAACACTGCAATTTTTTAACAAAATATCGAAAAATATTTTTATAAAAGTCTATTTGAAAAACTTACAACCATAACTTCATATGAGCGAAAGCATTATTAGTAATTAGTTACTTCGCTATCAAATTCTGTTAACAAATCGCAGACAACCGTTTTTTGACAAGTTTGTTTAATAATAAGAATCGCTTTTTCACAGACTCGATACTTTAACACAGTTACTTTAAAACTCGATTTAAAAAAATACAACCATAACTTGATGCAAGTAAAATTCTATTATATGGAATAATAACAACGATAATAACAATAATAATCGTGATTAAATACTTGACCGAATGATTGGTACATCTCTATACATCGCCATTTGCTGAATGTTTGGTTATTTTGCGTAAAAAATTTCCACTGTTTAATTGTGACAAATCTTTATTTTCTCTTTACTGATTTTGTCTCTAATTTGTTAAATTTGGGTAATTTAGCGAAATGCCGAACAGCGATTCGCCTGCAGAGGCCATGGAAGTGTCTTCAGATGTCAAGTCCAGGTCATCCAAGGAAGCCATCCTGGACAACACCAAAGACGTTTCAAGTAGTAGTGTCGATGACGACGAAACTATGGCGATTTCCTACCAGTGAGTGCGTGATGTGAATTTAATTTATTTGGTTCCCTGGTGGTGAAACTTTATCCTGGTATTTAAGAAATGGATTCTATGTTGTTGGCAGGTGTTGATCAGGTTGGACCCTCTCTGATCTAATGCTAATCTAATCTAATGCTAATCTCTAATAATTAATAATCTAACTAATTCTAATAATAATATAACTAAAATGCTACTAAAAATTATATTATATAATTATTATGTTAAAAGTTTAGTTTTTTAGTGATCATTTGTTAATTGCTTATTTTTATATTTATAATAATTTATAATAAAATAATATGTGTGAAAGTAAATTGTCTGTCTTAAATCTTGATCTTGCTTGATTTAGTTCTAAAATTCTGATAAATAAAGTAATTGTTATTTTTAAAATTGTTAAGATTTGCTGAAAATAAGAAGAATGAAGGAAATGCAGAGTACAGTAAAAAGAATTATTCAGCTGCTTTGAGCTTGTACTCTGAAGCCATTAGTATGTTGTCATTTCAATTGATGTTCATCTTATTTGGAAATTTCATAAACTAAATTTATAGAATGAATACTAGGTAAATAATTTAAAGTGTTTAGTTAAATATATTCATTATTTATGTTTATTTATTTATTTTATTTGGACTTTCATAAAATTGTATCATGGCTTTAATTAAAGATTAAATTTTATTTATTTATTTGTATACCAAATGGAGTTTTTTATTTTGTATAGTTATATTAAAATTAATTTTGTCAATTGTATATAATATTAATTTAATTACCTATTTTTTAATTTTTGACAATTTTTACTACAAAATATAAGTAAAAATTAACTTAATTTTGTTATTTAAGATTTGAACCCAGATGTGGCATCATATTACGGAAACAGGGCAGCATGTTATATAATGCTGGAACAGTACGAGAAAGGCATTGAAGATGCGAGAAAATCTGTTCAGATTGATCCTACATTCGTAAAAGTATGTCTAAATGTTTTACTGATATTTCATTTTTTTATAATTTCTTGTTTCTTATTTTTAAAATGTTTATATTTTTTTCAAGGGGTTTCTAAGGGAAGCTAAGTGTCAGTTAGCATTAGGCGAAGTGGCTGCATCAATCCATCTGTATAAAAGGGTCTTAGAAATGGAACCAACCAACAACACGGCCATCACTGAAGTATGATAATTTGCAAGTTTTGTTTTTTGAGTTTTTCTTTGATTGTTTTTGAATTTTTGTTATCATTCTACACTTTTTTTTTACAATTTTCTATGTTTTTAGTATTACATTTCATAGCTTTCAACCTGATTAAAAAATTTACAACATCAACCGAATATTAATTTTAAACTTAAAAAACACAAATGAATGATTGCTCATATTATTTTTTGAAATCTTGTTGAAAGTGATTTTTTAATGTACATTTTTATGTTGAATGCTGGTTGTTACAAAAGCTGAAGCAAGCTAACATGGTTGAGGAGAATGATTCAAAAGCACTTGCATTCATGTCTAAAGAAGATTTCAGAACAGTGCGTTTATTCACATCATTTATCTTCATCATTCTCACTTTTCTACTGCTTCTATTATTTTTCATAAAAATTCTTTTTTGTTTGACATATCCTTATTTGAATAAGTTAATTATTCTTTAAATGTAATTCATAATATAAACAACAAATTGTACATAATATAAAATCATAAGTGAAATGATGATTGACAACATGATGCAACTTCAATAATTGAACACTACAGGCCATCTATCATTTAGACAGATGCATACATCAATGTGTCGGTTGCATCAAATACAAGATTCTCAGAGCTGAATGTTTGGCAATGTTGCATAGGTACGAAGAAGCTCAAGATATTTCCAGGTTTGCTTGTCATTTAGAAGTTTTCAAATATTTACCCTAATATGTTGTGACATTAATAAGCTCTGTAAAATTATATTTATTGCCTAAATGTCGTCATTTTTCTTATTTTATGACTACAAATTCATTCATTATCTGAAATTCATGAAATAATTTTTTAAAATTTTATTTGAACAATTATCTCCTACCCTAGTGACGTGTTGAGGAGAGATGGATCGTGTGTGGATGCAATTTATGTGCGTGGTGTTTGTTTGTACTACATGGACAGCTGTGATAAAGCATTTCAGCATTTCAAAACTGTTCTTGAAAGAGCTCCCGACCACCAAAAAGCCAAAAACGTTTATAGGGTTGGTTTGTCTACTGTTATCTGTTTTTTTTTTTTTTATGTAATTTAATCTGCATATTTTTAGACTGTATCCCTATATTTTTGTTTCTATTCAACAATCAAGTTGCAATAAATGATGATTTTTTTAATTGAATGGATATTGAATTGATGCATGATTGTGTGAATGAACTGACTTTAAAATAATTATTCTGTCATAGTTCATTTGTTTATCGGTGTTAATATATGATAATAATAATTATTGATTGGTTGTTAAATTGATGTTGGCAGAAAGCCAAAAGCTTGATTCAGAAGAAGGAGGAAGGCAACACGGCATTTAAACAAGGAAACTTCCAACTGGCAAGTGATATTTATACAGAGGTCTTGACCATTGATCCATTCAACAAGTGTACAAATTCAAAAGTTTACTTCAATAGAGCTACCGTTCTCTGCAAAGTAAAAATAAGTCGTGTGTGCATGTGTTTGTCTCTGTGTGCGTGCGTGTGGATTTGTTTCTGTGTGTTTGCTTTTTGTTTATGTTTTGGAATACTGAGTGGGCTGCTTTCAATGTAGGATTTTTGCTGTTCTATACGATATATGACTACACTGTTAACATTGAGTTAAGTTTTTTTACGTGAATGAATTAAAAATTTCCATACTCGGGTTATTAAAGTAAAGATGTTGACTATTTTTAATCTGTTACATGCGATTATTATTTTTTACCAATAGCCTGTAGTGTAAGTATGGAATCACAGTGTTACGATATATAGCAAACAGTATTTTCAATCATGTTATATATTAATATTAATAATAATATGTTTCGTGATGTTTCAAATTTTTTCCAGATGAACAAATTGGAGGATGCCATAGCAGATTGTACCTCCGCAATTGCTTTGGATGATAAATACTTGAAAGCATATCTAAGAAGAGCAAAATGGTTAGCACATTTAATCTGTTTCAAGTAGTTGATTTTATTTCGCTATTTATTTATTTTTTCAAGCTAATGATTAATTAATTGTGAATTATTATTAATTATTATTAATGAGCATGGAAGAATTGCAGTTAAAATTTGACAGATGGAAAAGTGTTATTGAAAAGAAAAGGTTAAAAGTTAATATTAGTAAGACGAAGGTAATGGTGAGTGGGGAAGGTGGGGAGCGAGTGATAAGTAAAATAGACCCCTGTGGGGTATGTGACAGGAGAGTGAAGGCTAACTCGGTATTGTGTATAGGATGTCAGAAATGAGTGCATAAGAGATGTAGTGGTGTGAGGGGGGCACTGAAAAAGGTGGAAGGCACGTTCAAATGTAAGAAATGTGTTCATGGTGTGATTAATAGGACGGACGCAAGGACGGGGTTGAGTGGTGGTATTGAAAGAGTGGAAAGCTTTGTTTACTTAGGGGATAAGCTGAATGCGGATGGAGGATGTTTGAGCACAGTTACGGCTAGAGTTCGTGTGGGATGGATGAAATTTAGGGAACTGGGTGGGGTATTGTGTGGAAAGAAATGGTCAGTGAAGATGAAAGGGAGGGTATGAAAAGCATGTGTGAGAGCAGCGATGGTATATGGTGGTGAAACTTGGGTGTTGAGGAGAGAGGAGGAAAGTGTACTGCAGAGGGCTGAAAGAGCTATGGGGATGATGATGTGTGGGGTTAAAGTGAAGGATAGAAGGAGTAGTACAGAGCTGATGTCAATGATGGGACTGAATGAGGACATTGTGACATTGATAAGGAGATCGAGATTGCGGTGGTATGGACATGTGTTGAGAAGGGATGAAAGGGTCGGGATTAGGCGAGCGTTGGAGTTCGAGGTTGAAGGAGTGGTAGGAAGGGGTCGTCCGCGATTGGGATGGAGAGAGCAGGTGGAGAAGGACAGGGTGAAAGCGGGGTTGCGTGATACTGAGGCGAGTGACAGATTTTGATGGCGTCGAGGGGTATTTCGGTTTCATCATGGGTAGCCAAACGGCAACCCCCGATTTCGGGGAAAATGCCGTCTAAACGTGTGTTGTTGTTGTTTATTATTAATAATGTCCTGGTTATGACATTAAACTGACCCTCACTGCCTTGTGAGTGATATTGGATCATCAAAGGCTAGGCCCACCGCATATAACTGTGGTTGCGTAAGGAAGGGCGTCCTGCGTAAAAATTAGCCAAATAAATTACTTATGATGGAATGGCGTCGAGGGGTATTTCGGTTTCATCATAGGTAGCCAAACGGCAACCCCCGATCTCGGGGAAAATGTCGTCTAAACGTGTGTTGTTGTTGTTGCTGTTGAATTATTATTAATTAATCGATTAATTAATTAATCAATTAAGTAAAGATGCTTAATAACTTTTTTTCTTTCAGTTACATGGAACTGGAGAAGTATGAAGAGGCAGTTCGAGAATATGATGCCATTTTAAAACTTGATAGATCCAAAGGTATATACAAAATTAGTTCTACATTTTTTATAAATTTTATATTTTACACTTTTTTTTCAGAAAATAAACATCTCTTGCAACAAGCCAAATTGGAATTGAAGAAAAGCAAGAGAAAAGATTATTACAAGTTGTTATCTCTCAAGAAAGATGCTACTGAAGATGAAATTAAAAAAGCTTACAGGAAGCATGCTCTACTTCACCATCCTGGTTAGTCTCAGCTCTTTTCATGTTTTTCTTGTAAATTTTCAAAGTTTATCCAACTATTCAATGGTTTAATATTGATTTCAGCAAATTCAAAAGTTGATAAATGTTTTCTACTATTGATTTGCAGATAGACATTCACACGCTACAGATGAGATTAAAAAAGCTGAGGAAGTAAAATTCAAGGAGGTCGGGGAGGCATATGCTGTACTGTCTGATCCCAAGAAGAAAGCTCGATACGACAGTGGCCAAGATTTGGAAGAAATAAACAGCGGAGGTGGAGGATTTGATGGCGCCATTTTCGATCCAAACATCATCTTCCAAAGTTTTTTTGGAGGTCACCCAGGTGGTGGGTTTTCCACATTTTCAGCAGGTGGTGGACATCCTGGTTTTACTTTTCAATTCGGTTGATTTTCAACTTTATAGGAATAGCATTTCAAAGTTCTGTAAATTTGTGATTAATTTTTTATAAAAATGTTCCCCAAATTTTGAAAAAATTTTCTATCAGAGGATTTCTATACACGTCAAAGTTGGATCGTGTGTAGATTTTGAATTAAAATTTTGCAGTGGTATTCTTAATGTGTTTTATTAGTGATCTCAAGAAATCATATTTTTATCTACATTATTCAAAAATGTCAGAATGAACTATACACTATTGCATTTATTGCATGCAGAAAATTATGGTAGTTTGTGTTGAAATTTATTAATTTTCCCATTGAATGTATGATCAGATCAATCATTACCGTTCATTAACAAATTTACTAAATATTGAGTGCAAATAAGTCTCTTCTCAGTGAACTTTAAAATTATGGGTTAATACAAGGGTGAGCAAGCGATTGTGCAGCGTCGTCGTTGGACAATATTAATTGAACTTATTGCAAACCACTCGTAAGATTCACGATGCTAACAACTTTTATTGGTTTAATTTTGTGTTGTGTTAACTATGTTAGTTCAGTTAATTATGACTTACCATGGCTTACCTTTAAGAATCATCAGTCGTTCGTTCTAGTTTTTTCAAAAATACTTCGAATAGTATCATTCTTTGTATAAGTTTAAGCATGTTTGCTAACTACTTTTTGTCGAGGATGTCACCGTACGTCTGAGTTCGATGCCGCTAATGCTTCCAATGAAGTGTTCAATTGGAAGAATTCGATGGGGCAACCAATATAACATTAACATTCTGTCATCTAACATTGTGCAAAAAAGAACGCTTCCAGGTCAACGCTATAGAAAAGTACTAAATCTAAAATTTAAATTCATTTTTTTAATCCAATGGAATGATGCAATGGTATTCTAAATATATGGATGAACCATGAACCCTAATTTAAAAGCCAAAATCAATTCTTTGGTTGTTTAATCTTTGACCTTTACAGTGTCAAGGTGTCCTGCAGACATTCGCGAACTACGCAACTTTTTAAAAGTGTTTTTTGAATAATAAATCAAATTTTTGCGTCCATTTGACATTCTATAACAAACTAAATAAAAAGTTTTTCACGTAAGTTTAATTTTTATTAGATGTCATTAAGACTTTCTTAGATTATTTTACGTTTTTATTTTTCAGTATTTTCTGCCACACTCTCACCTTTTTTAGTCAGTGACGATGGCAGCAAGGGTTAAATTCAATGTTGATTTCATTCGTTTAATTTTCTTCTTGTTCATTTGAATGTCGTGTCGTTGATTAGCTACTTAAAATTTATTTTGCAATTTTTATTTCTTCATAATAATCTTAACTCTGTGATGCAAGATGAAAATAAGCGGTGTGAGAGGGTTAGCGATTGTGGAGTAATCACCATTATTAATTGATGGCGGGGTGTATTTTTTGTTAATATAAATAAATAAATAATTATTTGGATAATTAATTTTTTGTATTTCTGTGTAGATCTTAGCAGCGAGACGTATCACGGCTTATTTGCCAAATTTGAATGCTGCTGTCAGACATTTCACATCATTTAACTTTGTGGAAGATGCGCATCACGCACAGCTGCCCTCTCCAAGTCCATCAACTCTACCTAACCTGACTAGCTTACTGCCTCCTGTAACACATATCAATGGTACCCAGATATTTCTATTCTAATGATTATGTTATATTCTTGCTGTTATCTTTCTTTATTTATCCAATTTACATACTTTATCATACACATGTTTGAATAATTATTTATGTATGAAATCATTGTTGAAGCTAGTGGGAACAGCTTGAAAGCAGCTGAAACTGCCAAAGAAACTGTTAACTCTGATTCTGTTTTGAATCAATTTTATGAAACTCAAGTATGAACATATTTCATTTACTTAAATTAAGTAAATCATATTTTAAAATTTAATTTGTAAACTTTCCAAGTTATGTCATTCGAGTGATTGTACTAACAGCTTTGATACAAAATCTTTGGGAAATCTTGAATGTTCTGCCATTGAATGCAGTCACAATATGAAGAAAGGTTGGACATTTACAAGTTTTCAAAAGAATCAGATGCATACTATAATAAATGAAAAGCTGATTTTACCATTTCTTTTGACAATTAAACTTTTCATGCCATAAAAATTAGCACTGCACCACACCACTTGATAATATGCAAGCTATGCATCCTACATACATGTGTTTGCATACATTGCCATAAAACTAAAAGTATATTCAAATATTGTTTCACTCCTCTTACTATCTCAGTACCGCAGGACATGCAAAATTTCATCCACAATAAGCGCTTATAATCCATTTAAATGAAAAATTATTTTAGATTTCCAAGAATTGTTTGTGGACAGGGACTTATCAAATGGGCCTCTCTCCATTGTTACATTGAGTCAGAATACAGTCAACGACATGAGTGCATGGTCACCCTCTGTTGAAGAAGAGAGAGAAGAAATCCTTGTCAAGGTTATTGGTTACACTTGACGTTGCAATAAAATGTTTAATTCTAAACAGGCATTTCACTTGTCATTTTACTGATAAATATTTTAATGTATAATGATGATAGTATCATTACACGTTTCAGTTTATAGAGGGAGCAACTGAAATATGCAATGCCCTGAAGAGTGCTGGCTATTGGGCAGATTTCATTGAACCGGAATCCGGCAGACCTGTAAGTTTCAATCTTGTTCAATCAATAAAGATGTCGGTGAATCATTTTACAATTTTTGCTTTCAGTATTTCGGAGCTTACACAGGATCAACTTTATTTGAGACAGACCACAGATACAAAAAATTGGGGTTCAACATAAACGACCTTGGATGTTGCAAGGTCATTGTTCATTCGGTTTGGGGTGCATATGTTTACGTTGGATCACTATTTACCAATGCGCCAATCGACCACCCAGTCATCACAAAACTCACTCAGTACAATGAAAAACAATGATTCGTTCAAACTTGTTAACTGTAATTAGTGTACTATAGAACTAATTTGATTTCCACCAAATCTATTTATTTTAAGCAACTTTTTTGTAGAACATCCAATGGTATGTGCCTTAAAATGGTTAACTTTTTTCGTTTATTGTGCATCAACAAAACAAATTGACAGTTAAACATTTTGGCTGGTTATTACAATACTGGACATTTTTAATTTAAAAATTTCTGTTTGACATCACAACTGAGGACATTTGTCATCAGATTACCTTTTTCTTCAAAAAACTAAGAGAGATTCCCATTGTAAATACGTTACAATCATCACGTGACAAATGACTTAATGAAAATAAGTTAATCAATAAATAATCAAAGTTTTCAGAGGTTAAAGGCAGTTTAACATCAGCAATCTCAGAGACTCTAGTCCAAACTGCCGTCACTCATCATTAAACACGTTAGCCAATTTTACAGCAAATTATGTAAGCAGTTAGTCAATCAATTTAAAAAATGTATTGCATCTTCAGTTGTCAAAATAAAGTTATCACATGAGTAATATCATAACCCAATGCTCAATAATCTTTCATCATTAAATGCAATATTTGTTTGTAGTTAAAATAAAATGAACACTGATAAAACAAAAACGGGAGAACTCAGTTAATTTGGTGTTAAGTTAACATCATTTTACATCAAGAGTAGCAAATATTTTTGACATCATTGTTGCATCCCGAGTGATTGAAAAAAATTGATAAAATAAAAAAAACAAATCAAAAGAAAGTCATCAGACAAATGCCTCGGGTTCATCCAGAGAATCAGGCAAGCGGTACCGTTGCGGATAACAAAAAACTTGAACACCGCTGGTTCCAACGTGCCTAATCAGACTCGTCATCGTATCATCACCTGACTAACTGAAGAATATACGCAAAAACAAATGACTTAATGAAAAATAACAGTAAACAAAAAAATAGCATGCATCCATTCAGACAGCCAAGGAATGCATCGCCACCACGTGTTTGAACGTTCGGCATATTTGCGAAACCAGTTCCTTCCATCATCATCAGAAAGCAGCATAAAATATATTATAACTAAACTGAGTAAATATTAAAAGGCATACTAAACACTAAAACACGAAACAAACACGCAAATTAAGAAAAATTGCAAATCGCAGAAAGACCGAGCACCTGAAACGTACAACCAAAAAAAGGAAGAGCGATAAAACTTAAGGCTTATATAGCCGCGTTGAACGTGCATAGAACACGTATTTCAAGAATGGAAAGCGCTTTTATAACCACTTATTATCGCAAATGTTATTTATTTTATTATTTTTAATAAATAAATAGAGATTCTATTCATTTTTTTTAAACTTTTCAAATTCGATAGACGTAAGCATATTTGTATATATGACAATGTTTGATAGAATATGATATATAAGTTGGAATACAATGCATTTTCAAGACTTGGCAGAAACAATGTTTACAATTTTAATATTAATAAAGAATTTTTACTATCTTGTTTTCTGTGAGCTTTTGAACTTCCAAAACCGTCTTTGTAAGTTTTGTGGGCTCTGTTCTCACACCAAAAGCAACAAAAATTCCAAACATTTTATATCTTTGTTAAATTATTCTTTGAATTTTTGAACCTGGTTTACTTTTCACATTCAAAACGTGTGGTTCCATTTATCGTTGTGTTTTCCTGATTTATTAAAAAATGCGAAATCGTAAAATTGACAACACGTTTGTGGTTAGTTGTGAATTTGTTTTAGAAAAAATCGGAGTTTTTTTAACGTAGTGCAATCAAATATTTTCTAATTTTCTAATGAGAGTTTGTTATTAATAGTGTTTTTAAAGTTTTTAAGACTACTGTTATTGTTATTAATAAAAATGTTGATATGTTGATATGAAAAATAATCATTGTTAATAAATTCAAAAATTAAGAGTTATTAATTATAATAAATAAATATGTAATAATAATGTTATTTAATTTAATTAAACATAGTTAATCTTGATCTTTAATTTAATTATCATCTGGTAAAAAAACAATTCTAACAAAAAAATCAAGTAGTAATGTAGTAAATAAAATTTTAAAGTAATGTAAACAATCACAGATAAGATTAGCTCGTTAAATTAAGTTCTTAAATAATTTAAAGTGATAGCCAGGATTAACACACAAAAAATAGTTGACCTACCTACCACAACACAAAATTTTAAATAAAAATTAATTCATGATGCTCATTTACTCAGTCATCACTCTGGTGTATTGTATGTAGATATTTGTCAGTGTGGTATTGAGTATTGTACATGAATCCTGGTTTTGTTTTACTTCTACTCAGGAGCTTTGGATGAAGACTTTTTAGGAATTAGGATATATTGATATTTGCCTTGGATTTATGTGGAATATGTGATTTTGTTTATTAGTTTATTTTTATATAATTATTTATAATGTAATCTAAGTTTAGATTTTATTTATTCAATTAAAAAGGTTTATTAGGTTTCTCTAACAAACTAAAATTATTATCTAATCCAGCAAGCTGCAAACTTTATATTGATTTTTTACTTTTTTTAATTTATTTAATTATTAAAAATGATAATTTTACTTTTTTTTTGCAGTTTAAATCATTCACAGAATTGATAAAAGAAGTTAATTTCTCCAGTGTAAGAAGAGATGAGAGGCAGCCAGACGAACCTGATGTAACATTTTGCTATGTTTTCTTCATATTTTTTTTAAGTTCATTTTTTAAACAATTACTTTTCTGATCATAATGTTGATAGAGTTTTTTTTTGTGAAGTTTTTATAATAGAGAAAATTTTTTTGATTATTTAGGATCAGCAGGGATCATATTTTGGGGAGAGTTTGATGAAATGGAGGGATTTAAACTGTACCCAACATTTTGGTTCGTAGTACATTTTTCCATTCATTCATTCTTTTTTTCATTCATTCATTTTATTATTCATTCATTCACTGTAATGTTAAAAATTTAATGAAAAAAAGAACCAGACTTGAACTGTATTTTTTTTTCTAATTTTTGAGCATGCAACTGCTTTGTTTTTGTAATAAATTTATATATATAATGCAAACCATGTTTATACCATAAAGTTATGTTGTGTTATACCATGTATACATACTGTACAATACCACACAATGATGGTACTACACAATCCTACTTTGCCTGTTGTTGTTTGTTGTCTTGCATCAAATAACGGCTTGTTGGGCCTAGTGGGTCACATTTTTTTTATAAGACTAATTAAAGCCAATAAGCAAGCTTACTTATAAAAATTGTTGTTGTTTGTTGTCTTGCATCAAATAACGGCTTGTTGGGCCTAGTGGGTCACATTTTTTTTATAAGACTAATTAAAGCCAATAAGCAAGCTTACTTATAAAAATTGTTGTTGTTTGTTGTCTTGCATCAAATAACGGCTTGTTGGGCCTAGTGGGTTAATGAGTGTCGTGGTCTAATGGTTAACATGCCTGGCATTGATGTTGTAGTAACTGGGTTCAATTGTGAAGAGATTCCTGACTGTTACATACAATGTGTGGTGGTATGTGTTGATTTAACATTGAGAGCTGATTGCAAACATTTTTATTTTTCAGTGAACTTCCTACAGGAAATGAGGGGAGAAGTGGACAGCTTGCTCCTGGTCATTCACAATCAGGTCTGTTGTTTGGGTCATCTGCATTTTGCAGTAGAATGATTAAATTGGTCTGGGTAGGTCTGGATGATGGGAATTGAAATATAGATTACACCGAGTTTCTTTAATACTACTTATTCACAATATTGATGATGTTATAATGTTATAATTATTATTATATTATAATGTTATAATTATTATTATGTTATAATTATTATTACAAAAAGTGGGCTGATTAAATTCATTAGCAGTGTATTAAATTAAAATGGACGTGATTAGTAATGTTAGTTTAAGCTTTAAAATAATTTATTTCCCCCAGGATACAATAGCCAGCTGTCTTGAGAAGCATCTGCAGGTGCCGAACAGCATGGCATATGAGCCTCTCCTAGAGTTGGTTTCATTTTGTTTCTATATTTTGTTTTGTTTTGAAAATTATTATTAAGATCATCATCTCGTCCTTCTTCTCCTCATCATTGCAAACAGCCTCACAGTTCAGCTGAGCAGAGATCTCCAAGGAGATTTCTACAAAAAGTTTTTCAAAAATTTTTTTGCAATCTTCATAAAACTGCTCAACAAATGTCATGACGTCGAGATTCTGTCCAAGACGTTCACAACACTGTCCTACATTTTCAGAGTCCTCATCAAGTTCTTCCTAAAAGACATTGATGAAATATTTGAGTATGTTATGGATGTTATTTTGTTCAATCTGTCTTATTCAGTTAATGCCTGTATTGGTATGAATGTTATTTGGTTTGCTGTTCAGACAATCAGTTTTAAACTTATCTGGTTCGATTGCTGAGTTAGCAAAATTTCGAAAGTGCAACAGTCTTTAGTTTACCATGCATTGTACGTGATTTTATTGAGCTAATAACACACTCTAATGTGTACAATTTACTTCAAGAAGAACTTTCTTACATGACGCAGATTTTTATTTAATAAAAAGTTATTATTTTACTATTTTGTTGTTAATCAGTTTGTTCAGTCCGCTGTTAAGCACACAGAACTACAAAATCTACATCAACAAATTTTCTGCTGAGGTCTTCTCGTTTCTTATCAGGAAGGTTGGAATGGAAGTTTTATCATTCTTGATCATTTTGCTTCTTATCAATTTTTCTTGTTCTGAATGACTGTTTAAACTATTTTTTTGAAATGTATAACTGTTATTATTTTTGAATGAGGTTGTTGTTTAATGAATTTTTTACGTCTGCTTGCTTTTATTTTAATTTTAGCACCCACGTGTTGAACTCGTTGTTGAGATGATGTTGAAGAAAGTCAGCAGGAATGAAAATGTTAGTCTTTTTCAAACATGACCAACTGTTTAAACAAGAAAAAAAATTGTGTACCAGATAAAATAAAAATATAAATTTGTTTTGGATGAAATTAACTATTGGTAATAAATTTTGAATATAGTATGAAACTAAATATCATTGCAGTTGATTACCGGGACCAGTCACTTGCTGTTTGAAGCCGTCAAGGGAATCAAACATCAGTTCCATAGTTCTACAACCCAGGTTGTTTTGTGTTCTCTATAGTCAAAGCCAGTTGCTTTATAAAAAAAAAATGGTTTTTTAATTTATACAATATTTTAAAAAATGTTTTCAAATCTCCCTTAAGATCATGACGACATTGTTGAATTTGTTGGACAAGAAATATTTCTGCAATGAAATTGTCTTTGATTGCCTGAAGAAGATGTGGACGTTGATGCTGCAACACACCAACCAACATTTTGTGAAAAACATCATCTGCTATCCATTGGTTTGTTGATTTTTTGTTGTTGAACATTTCAAACTTTTCACAATTTGAAAACTTGATTTGTTGATAAAATCTTGCAAAATACATCATCAAATTAATTGGGACTCCAATAAGAGTCATAGCATCTTCTGTTGAAAAAATTGTTCCAGTCACATAACCGAATCTATTGACGCAATCTCAGGACAAGTTGAGCAGTATGCTTCAGCTGCCTGAACGACAAGAGGAAGATCGAAACGAAGAACAAATCAATGTCGATCAACTAACTTTCTTGTTGAAGTTGCTGCTGAAGTTTGCTTGCCTGAGACACGGCCAGCTGCTGAATGAACATGCACCTTCTATTGCTCAGGTGGGCTGATTGCGCTTTTTATTTGCTATTGTTGTTCAATGCTGCTGATGTTTTTTATTATGATGTATGTGTGTTTACAATAATAATTATTTGGTTTTTTTTGATGAGGGTGAATTGTTGTGAGTTCTTTTTGACGGAGATGTGGAGTACCACGGTGTGGATTAATAAGCAAAGTCACAACTTGAACTTGACAGGCAATGCAATTATAAATTTTATTGGTGAGATAAGTTAGCTGTTGGAAAAAACATTGTTGGAATCTCTGGTTTAAATATGGAAGTAGGCCTGTGAAAAAGAGCATGACCTATAAATGATTTCATGTTCGTTTTTAAACAGTTGAGATTAAAGTTTAGAAGCTGGGTGATTGTGTAGGGTTAGGGTGTTTATGTTTTTATGGATGGAATCTGTAGAAGTGACAGATGTGGAAATTTGATTCAAAAATTAATATTCATGACAGTTGATGGACTTTCAATTACGCAAATATTATTAAGTTTAATAATTATGGAGCAACAACTAATGTAATAACATTAAGCTATCTTAATATTTGTTTAATTTGAAAGGCAATAGGAAGAATATTTCAGAGTGGGGGTGAAAGGCTGAAAGGGAAATTTGAAAAAGTCTTGTATGATTTGCTGTCCGTGGTTCTCCTGTCAGACAATGCAGATGTTTCGTCTTTCCACAGGCCTCTACTTCTCAAGATGGTCGGTTTAGACTTGTATCACTACTCTTTTGTTGCATTCTGTTTGAAGTTTGCTATGCATTCTTGACAAATTTCTTTGCAGACAAAATGGTGATCGCAATTTTTATATTTTCATGCTTGATTGTGAAATTATTTCTAGTAATGCTGTCGTTGATGACAATTGTTGCATTGTGTATTATTGTAATGATGTCATTCAATAATGGAGTGTCATTTGTAAGAACGTTTTGAATCAACCCTCTTTAAAATGGCAAATTAATTGAGATATCGAATGGTTCTTAGTTTCTTTATTATTATTCATGTTTTGCTGGATGTTCTATCTTTGATCAGTGACATTAAACGTTAGCGAATGAAATTTTTTCCAGTTCGTTACTTTTTAATTATATTTATTTAATCCTGTAAAATGCCACTCACACAGGCTTATGGACACGAGTCGGTAAATTTTGAAACAATTTCAAAATTTTCCAGACACATCTTCCAACTGCCACTCTTTGAGAAGGTAGGTACATTATTGCTATTAATGCTCTTGGTGACTTTTTTTTAGTTTATTTATTTTAAAATTAAACTATAATAATTATAATTAAACTATCAATATTAATTTTGTCAAGGTCAATCATAACTTTCAATCAAAACGTTTAATTATTTTTTTAAATTTTATTAAGTATTTTTTATTAAATCAAAAAATTTGAAAAAAAAAAAAATCTGTCAGGATGCCCTGATTCAGATGATGAAGTATTGCAACAACTTATTCACGAGCTCACCAAGCAAATGTTTTCAGCTGCTGTCAACTCTGATTCATGTGAAATACCAGGAAGACATTCACCTGGTTGGAAATAATGTCATGTATGCCCAAGTTCTTCTTCTTCATTTTTATTTCCAATATCTAAAAATTTTTAATGGTCTTTTTTAACCGACGTTTCCATTAATTTTGTTGTTCTAAGTAAATTGAATTCGATGGAGGAGATATTTTTTAGATAAATTTCTATGTTTCAAAATGTTTATCATTCAGAAAATGGCACGTTAGAAATTGTAAGCAGTTGCATCGGCAGTTTTCACAATTTTTCAGATTTCCTCTAGATTGGAGTGATCACATCTTCAAGACCATCCAAAGTGTTGCTTCATCCTTGATTGCAACCATTGAAAAAGCGGAAGTAGTAACTACAGCGACGACACCGCTACCAACAACGACAACGGCGGCAGAAACAACACTATCACCAACCACACCTCCATCAGCTACTTTAGTTTCTGTCGACGCAACGTTATCATCTCTGTCTATTACATTCCGTGATCTCTGGACTGTTGTCCTATGCATCCCATTTGCCATGTTAGAAAAATTTTCTTTTCATTTTACAATTTTTGTAAAAAGTGATTTAATAGTAGAATTATATAATTAAAGTTGATTTAATGAATTAATAGTTAAATTAGGTAATTAAAATTACCTTAGATAATACAATTTCTCACAAATTTATATCAATTTTTTTCATTTTTTACCTGATTCTGTTTGTCATTTCTTTTCTGAAGATTCAGTGAAAGTGAGAAGCAAGAGTTGAGAGAAGGCATCATCGTTCTCATCGAGCACCTGATTGCCATTGCATCTCAAGTTGATTGCCACAGAATAAAAAGTAAGAAACATTGAAGTTACATGTCATTTCGTACTATTAAAATATTTACATTTGGTTTTGTCTAATTGATTCTTGGGGTATTTTAATTTTTTTCAATACCTTTTTTAACATTGTAACATCTTATTTGTTGTAGAAATTAAATTATAAGTTAAGACCAGCTTATTGTGTTATTTATTTTCTTGACTGTTTTAAGAAATTAAACCATTTGTTATATACTAGATAAAATTCACCCACATGGAAAAAAAACAGGAAAGTACATGTTCATGGTGAAGCAAGCAGTCCACAGTTTGATCCAGCTGATCAACACGACCAACACAACTACCGACAAACACTTCTTAACCTACAACATCTTCAAAAATTTCAACTTCAGCAACAACATGGTCATTGGTGGTGATTTCGATGATGATGATGATGTTGCCGAGGAAGTTATTGGAAAGAGGGAAACTGACGTAGGGGATGAAGTTGCTGCTGCTGATGATGTAGATGCTGATGATGATGGCATGCAGTGCGACGAAGAACGCCGTGATGGAGCAGCTAATCATCTCGTGACGTTCCTCACTTATTTATTGCAGTTAGTTTATTTTTTCCAGATCGTTTTCTTATTTTATTTTTCTCAGAGATTTTAACACACAGCGTATGTGTGTGAATATACGTGAATCCACCTTAAACACATGTTCTATGTGATAGGTGGGTAGTTTTTGCATTCAAACTCTGTCACTAAAAATAGCTATGCTAAACATATTAACCATTATACTATCACGTTATAATGTATTGTTACTATTTATTTACTGCTACTTAAATTATTTATTTTTTCAAATAGAATTGTATTTATAATGCTTTAATTAAATAATTTCACCATTTTGAACATTTCAGATTATTTAGCGAGGAAGAGTTCATCTTGCAGTCTGTGCTAGAGTGTTTGAATGAGTTGAACGATGTTCAATGTTTGCTGACACCTCTTCTATTCACGTCATGGTTAGATCTCCTGGAGTCTAATCTACTATCACCATACTCTCAGGTTGGTTGGCTAGCTGGCTGCTTAGTTGGTTGGTTGGTTAAAAGTTTGGTCAGTCGAATTTTTAGTTGAGTGGTAAATCGGTCGTTTGGTTGGTTTTTTATGTTTTTTTAACGTTATTTACATGCAAATTATGTATTTCCTTTTGTAAATTATGACTGGCAATCATAAAATAATTCAATTTGCATTCCTTTTTTTTTTAGTTGCGCCTGTTGAGTCTGAAGATTTTATGCAAATTTAAACAAACTCCATCAGAACAACTCGACAACGTTAGTTTATTTAGATTAATATTTTCACTTCGTGCACCCTTTTACATTACATATTTTTGTTACTTTAATATTCACAATGATGATGTTGAAATTGTGTGCAAATTTTGTTGACTCTGATGAATGAAAGTTGGGATTGGTTACCCACTCCTTTCTAACTTTTGAAGGAGACAACAACAGTGAGTAATGTGTTCGAGGTTTGTTTGCAAGCCGAAGAAACGCCTGCTACCCTTCAACTTTTCAGGTTGGTCTGCTAAGTTTGTTTTGCTTGTTTGTTTGCTTGTTTGTTTGTATCTTCTTGGTATGTTTGTGTCCGATTGGCTTGTCTTGTGTCTGGGTGTGTTTGTTTGCGCTTTTTGTTTCCTTTCTTCCCTATGTTTTTTGAGTTACAATAAAATGTGTGTTTCTATGTTGTTTATGTGCATTAATTTTTTACAAATATTTCTTCAATGATTAAACAGACAGAAGTTGTCATACCTTCAGAAGCTCGAATTTGAACATGTGGCGTGCAGACTTCCTAACAACTGCCCAATAACTGTTTGTATTGTTTTATTTGCAACTGAAATCTTCACGTTAAATTACCATTATTACAATTATTTTCCATTCAATAACAAAACTGATCACTCGTATTTTGATATACAACACTTCGCAGATACCCCTGAAGTATTTGATAAGCCAGTTGTTCGTGAACTTTGATCCAATGACCAAATCCCTGAGTAATCTCATTGCTTCGTATGCTACGAATTTGAAACTGGACGAATTCTGGTCAGTGTTCGGCCCTCAGATAATATTTGCCCAGCATCAAGCAGGTCTGTTGCTTTTCTTCACTTCTTTTAATAATTTCATTTTATTTCTTACATTATTCACTGAATTAATCTTCCAAACAATTAATGGTTTGACAAGTTTTTTATACTTACGTTTAAATGTTTTCTAGTGATTAGCTGCCCTGAAACAATTTTTTAAGTTCAAAATGAAGTTCCAAAATGTTTGATAAACATTTCTCGTCATGTAATTAATGGTTATTCATTTAACATGGGAGTAAATTTTTACAGAATTTTCGCCAACAACAATTTTTTGATTTATCTTTATCTCTAGCTTCAAGCGGCGAGAGGGATCAAGATGCTCCTGATGATGACGAGGATGACGACGATGATGATGAAACAAACGTAGGTGGTGAAAGCAAAAATGGCATAATCGACAACAATGAAGACGATGAAACCAAAAATTGCATCAATAATTGCAACATTGAAAAAGATGAAGACAGTGACGAAGAGTCTGTTGTTGACAGTGATATGGAAACAGATGATCCAACGCTGAATACATCTTTAACAATATCTACCTCCCAAATCAAATCATCCAAACAATACTTCCTGCAACTATTCATGAAACTTTACAAGTCTCCGTGCGAGATGAGGAAATTAGATCGATCCAACTTTTTGACGTTCAGGCAGAGGTTGTGGACTTGCATGTTGCTCTTTAGTAGGACGTGTGAAGCCAGGTCCAGGATCGTTGTGCCTGTCTTCTTCAGATTTCTCGAGTTAGACATCAGTCTTTTTGCAACTTTTTTCATATTCCATTTTGATGCTTTGATTAAAATATCCATTTCATCAGTGCTTATTTTTGAGAAGTTTTAATTTGAAATAGTTTGATTTTGTTGCTGTTAAAACCATTATAGTTTGCTAAATGTGTTTTTGTTGAATTTTTTTCATATTTTTACCAGAACATATTTTTTTGTTATTTTGTTGCAGTTAATTATTTATTTTTGTCAAATATTTAAAACTATCAACATTGAGTCTGCTTTTGCTTTTTTTAGTTGAATGACAATGAGAATTTATTTAAATGATCAATTATTATCTGATACTCCTTCTTAATCACTTCCAAATGTTACATTGTAACTACATCATATTCATATCATTACGCATTAAACACAATGTAGGAACGAGTACAGATACAATTGGGACAATCCTAAATACAAAGAGGAATCATCATGTCAGCATGATGGTACAACGAAACCCAAAGTACCTGATAGGTTCGTTGGCTCTCAGTTGTATTAATTATTATTTGTATATATTTTTTTATTCATAATATTAATTTTTAAACATTTTCTAGTTTGAAGTTTTTTTTTAACATTTTCTAGTTTAAAATTGCGTATTTATAGAGAGTCTTCTCAATTTTTCATTTTATTTTTGAACTTTATCGTGACCATAGGTTGTTAGTTATGCATCTGAAGTTGTTTGCCAAATTCACTCAGCCTAAAAGCTTGTTCCTCGGACAGAAACTGTATGATTTGTATTTGGAGGTAGGCTTCTCATTTTAAAATTTATATGTTGAAATTTTAATGTACAAATTACAGAAAATATATTGAATGAATACAACGAATATGTTAGCAAATTGTTGTTTCTATTTGTTTGTTATAAAGCTGCTGAAGCAAAGCTCATTGGAAGTTCAGAGAGTGGCATTCAGCTGTTTCATGACCTTCAAGCCCCCGTACCTCGTACCGTACAAGTATGTTTCGCTTTTTTCCGTCGATACCTTCTTGATATGAACATTTCGATGATCTAATTTTTCGTATGTCAGAGAGAATTTTGAGAGACTGTTGGATGAGAAAACATTTAAAGATGAGATTGTGCTGTTTTCATTTGAGAGTGGCGTTTCAATCGTGAAAGAGGAACATAGGAAGGATGCTGTCCCAATTCTCATGAGGTTTGTCGTAGTCTGGCAGATGATTCGCCGCATTGGGGTTGCTATTGTTGCCAGAACTAATGTCTGTCTTAGTATTGTTGCAGTTGTTGTAGTTGCTGTTGTTGCAATAGTTGTTTTTTATTCATTGTTGTTGCTGTTGCAGTCATTATTCTTGTTACTATCATAAGAGTTGTTGTGGTTAAAAGTGTTGTTTTTATAGGTGATTGTTGGATGGTGTTGTAAATATTATTCTTGACGTGTTTGTAATTTGCCTACTAACACCACCATCGATGTTATACTAAAGATAAGGAACTGATATTTTGATGTTATTACGACGAAAAAATATTTTGATGATTCGAACTTCGTGATAATTAAAAAGGTGCTATGACAAAAAATTATTTTCAATACAAAAAAACTTTCAAAAATTTAGAATTTTGTTGGGAAAGATGCGACAGAAGCTTGGTAGCGATGCGAACGGTCGAATGGTTGGCCACTCTCGGAAGAACATCGTAATGACCTTCCTGGCTAGTTTCAATCAGGATGAGGTTGTCGTACTGCTGGACCTCGTCTTCGATGGCTTCATGTTCATTGCTGATGGTACGTCACATTGCCCGTGTTGATGACGTTGTTGTACGCTGATGATTATGTGGATGAAGATGATGGGGAAGATGATGATGAAGATGATGGTGAAGATGATGATGATGAATATGTTGGAAATGTTAATAGGTGGAGCAAAGTTAAGATTTCAAAAAAGCCGTTACTGGCTCTAATATTGACCAGCTAGCTGCAACAAAAATAACATTACATTTAATTCAAACGTGACCAGATGATGTTGATACAAATGTTTCGGACATCATGTCCGGCAAACTGAATGTTGCAGTGCCGCTCAAGAAAATACAGAGGTTTGTTTTGTTCAGGTTTTTGTATTTAAGGCTTTTTTTTATCCCAACTTAAACGTACATGGCTGTATTGAGCTAGCTATGTGCACGGATCTCGTTGGGTTACATTATCAACATTTGCATTACATGCACAACTTGTATTTTGGTTGTTGTTGTGTTGTGTTGCTGGGGTGTTGAGGTATGCTGGCTCTGAGTGGTCCTAGCATATGCGATTAGCCTCAGACAGTTACAAAATTTAAATTATTTCATTTATAAAGCGTTGTTTTATTTTTACATTGTTTTTAATTGTATACGTGTTTTTGCTTTTAAATGAAGTGCTCTAACAAGTGTTGAGATGATTTTCAAGAAACTTGGCAACAAATTAGATGACTACTTGAATAAAATTTTCAACATTCTCGTTTGCGTTGGAGCATTTTGCAACAAAAAATTAAATATTGATAAGCGTTCTGAACTCAATCCAAAAATTGTCAACATGCTAAAGAACATTCGATCAACTGTGACATCATTGATCATTGAGGTTCGTTGTTGGGACTCTTGCATTCATCATTTAATGATGATTATTTATTAAATTTTTTATTAAAAATTAAAAAATTATTTATTAAATCATTTAAGGATGATTATTTGTTAAATTTTTATTTCAAATTTCATCTGTTTACAGTTTTTTGAACTGTTTGAAAGTTTCAACTTCAGAGTCAGTGATGTAGAAGCTCTTTTTACTTCCTTAATATGGCCTCAAGTTCGTTTATCTTTTGCATTTCATTTGTTCAATATGCTTCAACAAATTCATCTAAGTTTTTGTTTTGTATCGAGCCAATTATTTAAATAATGTTTCTTTTTCTATTTTGTTTGATAAATTTTTTAACATGTTATTCACGCAGTTGGACAAACTTCCACAAGATTCCCTCATGAATCCATCAAGTCTTATGAAAATATTCTTATGCTGGTCTCAAAATTCTAGGTACCTACATTTCTAAATAGTTATGTCACTTTTCTAATACATCTATGTGTGTATTTGAATAAGTTAATTGATTAATTAATTAATTTAATTAAATGTTTATAATATGTTAAATATATAGTAGTTGAAATGCTTTAATCTTTCCAGATATCATTGCTTTTTCATAAAATTAAAACCGCGTGTCGTTTTGGACTCTTCGCTGGTACAATCATCTCCACCATCGTCAACAGCATCAACAACACCAACATCATCTGCATCACCTTCATCACCAATGTCTTTAATGCTGCAACTGTTGAACCAGCCAAATGTTGATTCAAGCGTTTCAAACATGATTCTGAAGATCATTGACAACTTACTCACTATATCATGTTCATTTGAAGAAAATGATGATGACGACGACGACGATGATGACTGCTGTATGATACACAAAGGTCTTCCAATTGTTCCTGGTGAGGTTGTTGAACTTACGGCGGCATCTCCTAATGAAAGTTTGTTTCGTTCTTTCATTCGTTTCTTGTCTTATTATTTTCATGTTGCGTTTTGATCTTACAACCGCCATCATCATCACAATTGACATTATCATCATTATGACTCTACCGTTATTATTACAATCTACGCTAAGAGTACGTGGAATTTTTTTTAAATTTCATAATTTTTTACTCTGAAGGTATTTCATTTGGTGAGAGCATTGTGGTTCATTTTTGCTCACAAATACTGGCGTACATCGATCGAAGGCTTAAGAGTGGGTCTATGAAATCAAAGAACAAAAAACAAAATGTTCCAAGTCTAGAGCTTTCCATTCTTTCTAAGTTAGTATCAACTCTTTTTTAACTCCTTCGGATTTTATTCTAACATTATTTTAACATTTAACAATTTTTTAATTTGGTATTTCTTGTTGAAATATGTAATTTGAACATTTTTCATGATTGTTATATTAATTTTTTGTTATTTCAATCTAAATTAATCGTTTTTCGATAATAATTTGAATAAAAAATCAGACTAAGCCAGTATGTGAGAGAAGGGGAGGAGAGCGAGAAGGTGGTGCAGCAGTTGATGGCGATGATGTCAATGAGGGTTTGTAGGGTTTCGAATGAAAGTGAGTACGAAATGTTGCTGTCCATCAAGCATCTCCTCCGCAACCAGATGTCTCCAGTCAAGCCTCTAGTCAAGTTTGTGGCCCCTCTGTCTTTTTGTTTGTTTGTTCTGTGAAGAGCTTTTGCTTTGTTTGTCGCGGCTTTTTTGTTTGTTTATTCACGAATTCGTGTGTAGTTTTTGCTGATAGGATTATTGTTTTCATGTAAAGTTGTTTCTGCTGCGTTATGAATCATTGTTATGTGATTAAATTTTAGTTGAATTTTGGAAAATCTTATATTTTCTTGTAACTTTTATATTACAATGCAATTCATTTCAGATCCCTAGCCACGTTATTCAGTACAAGCAGCAGCATACAATCACGAAATACGCTCTGTGATATTTTGAAGGTGTTATTTCCAGACTTTTTTCTTTTACAGCAATTTAGTTTTAATTTTGCGTGTGTTGTAGCCAGCTTATAATTATTAATTTTTTTATAATTTACAATATTTCTAAATTAAACATTCTAATTTTTTCAGGTTCTCTCAGAAAAACTACCTTCTCTGAAAGTTGTCACGGATATAGTGTACAAGGTTTAATAACTCTTCTTGTAACACTTTTTAATTTACCAATTTTGGTTTACTTTATAACCACTTCAATTAGAACTGACATTCACTTATTCGCGTCATCATTTTGGCATCTTTACTCAACAAACGTCAACGCAGATGAATGCCCAAGATGCGAAGAGACTTGATGAACCAGACTTCTCGATGAGAATGGAGGCATACCTCGACGCCACAAAGTACCTCACATCCAAGAAACATCATCCTTCGAACAACAACAGCAGCAGCGACAATCGCCAGAATGTTGTTGGCGATCATCATGTTGATGATGGAGTAATTGACGGAAGTATTGATGTGATTGAAGCCATGGATGTGCATGATGATGAGGATGAAAAATTTGACGACATGCTGATTCTACTTTATAACTGCCTCTATTTCGTATCAACAGTACGTTGTTTCGTTGCCTTGTTTTATAGTGATGTTTTGATTATTGCATCCAATTACAGTTTTGTGTAATAACCTAATAACCGTGTAATGTAAAAATGTATTACAGAGTGAATTTTCACAAAAAAAATGTTCTTATAGTTTATAAGTACTTTATTATTGCTTTCGTGAGTGCATAATGTACTCATTTTAAATTTCATAGAGATTTGTCCTGAAATATTATCAGTTATTTTCTATAATTTATTTATTATCATTATTATTTATTTACTATTTGTTTTCAGTTATTTTTTTTTTTGCTTCATAATATCCAAACCTATCCCATAAATCCATCTCTCGTTACAAACTCAATTGGAAACTACTAACCAAACAACTCGCAACATCGCCCACCGTGCAGTCAGCTGACCGAGCCTTGAGAGACAAGTCGATGGCCTGCATTGAGGAAATCATCCAACTGTCCAGTGCCCACCAAGCCTACCACGTCATCATCAGCAGACATCTCCTGCCTGCCATCAAGAAAAACTTGAAACTGGCCCTAGAGGTAGGTTTGCATTTGTTTGTTCACTGGTTTCTGCCTGTGTAAATGGTTAAATGTTTGGTTACGATGCTATTTTAACATGCTTTGTATGGATTAAATCTTAATTAAATTAATAAATAAATAAATTAATTAATTAATTAATAGATGAATGAATAAATTGATATTTATTGAAACAGGTGCACAGGCATTGCTACGTTCAGTTGCTGGCTCATGTCGTCCAGCACTTCAAGACGAGTGCTCAGATACAAAGCCTGGTAGCGTTGAGAGATTTTGAGGATGAAGAGAAGGATTTCTTCCTTAATATCATTCACTTCCAGGTTCTTTCCTTGTTCGCTTATGCAAAAATATTACAAATTATTTTTTTTTTCTGGTTTTATAGTTATAATTATTATAATAATTACATATTTATGTATTGTAAAGGTTACTTGGTGAAATTGGGGTGAAATTGTAAAAAAATATTTTTATTTAAGAAATATTCCAAATGTAATGACAAGTTTAAATTTTTTTATTAAACTGTTTAGACGCACAGGAGAGGAAAAGCGCTGAGAAAGTTGTCACAATACCTCAAATCTCTGGCTGCTGAACAGCAACAACTACAACAACAGCAGAGGTACAAACGACAACCGTTTTACATTTCATATAACATTTCATTCATCAGTTACATTTTACGCAATTCAAATATCTACATCTAACATAAGCTAATCAATGTAAATTTGAATTAAATCCAGATAAATCACAGTCATAACAATCACTATAACTAACATACATTAGCAGTAGCAGCAACACGGAATCGAAACCTCCCATTTCCTCAAAAACTCTCCACTCCTACATACTCCCTATCATCCTGTCCTACTTGAAAGATCAATTGTACGCTAAGGATTCTGATTTGTTGGATGCATCCGTTGAGGCTCTGGGATCAGTTGTCCGGTTTCTCCCGTGGGAAGAGTACTACGGAGTGCTTAGGTGGGTCCTGTTAATGTCACACCTTTTTAATTATTGCTGTAATGTTACGCTTTTGTTTGTGTGTGTTGTTAATGTTATGTAAACTTGAATACTGCAGTTCTGTTGTTTTATACCAGTGTTTCCCAACCTTTTTCAGTGTTGGCCTCCCTAAAAAAGTCCTAATGGTAACTTGGCCTCCCCAAATCCCGTCGTCAATAATTGAAAAAAAATCAATTTGTTATAACAATTTTTATTCAGACAGATTTAATTAAAATTAGCATTGTTCATAATAATAAGGTTTATGTAAGGTTTTTTAATTTATTACATAAAATGTTAATGAAGCTTAATGAGATGATTGTTGCTGTTTGCCATCACAGAGAAGATGAAATCGAGGTTCTGTATTAGAAAGAGATACCCTCATATCATTCGAGGCATCCAATCTATTTCTATCTTTAGTCTTGATAGATACTAATGTAGAAAACCCTTTTACACATAAGTAGGTGGTCGAAAATGGAATCAGAGCTGCCATGGCTTTTTTAAATAAATTTGGGTATATTTCTTTCAGACTGCAACAAAAACTCTGCCAATCCTTTGGAATTGAATTCAGCTTTTACCAACTCTTTTGATCGAAGATCAATTAAATCTTCCTTTATTTCTTCTTCATCAGCAACACTATCCAAGTCAATAAAGAACGGATTTCGTATCCAAAGATTATTTTCCAAATTTTTAGTATCAAAATAACGCTCAAAAAATAGTTGGAGAGTTGTGATATGTTGTATAATTTCTTTTTTTATTTCAACAGGCATTGATTTGTTTCTACTGCTACTTATAACATCAGCTAGGTATGGAAAATTTGCAAGGTTTTCAGCTTCTACTCTTATTTTGTACAATGAAAGCTTATTTAAAAATCATACTAATTTTTCATTGGCGTCGATTATTGTCATTTCTGGTCCTTGCAAACAAAGATTAAATTCATTTAAGAGTGTGAACAGATCAGCTAAATATGCCATATTAACTATGAAATCAGTCTTCTCAAAGTCACCTGCTAACGTTTTTTCTTTTTCTTGCAAAAATGAAGACACCTCATCTTTCAGGTCCATTAGTCTTGAAAATACCTTTCCTTTGCTTAACCACCTGACTTCTGTGTAATATAGCAAGACATCGTATTCAGAACCAAGTTCTTGGCATAAAACTTTGAATAAACGATGGTTTACTGCTCTTGATCGTATAAAATTGACTATTTTGATCGCTGTAGACATGACAGACTGAAGCTTTGCTGGTAATGTCTTCACAGCTAGAGCATGGCGATGGAGCATGCAATGAGTTACAAGTGTCTGTGGAGAATTAACTTTGATTAAGGCAGCCAATCCAGATTTGTTACCCAACATACTTGGTGCTCCATCAGTACAGACTGAATGTAATTTTGTCAACTAACTAAATTCATTTCTTTCAAAGAAAGTTGCAATCATTTGAAAAACATCTGCAGCTTTACTAGTTGTCTGAAGTGGTTGGCAAAATAAAAATTCTTCTTTAATTTTAAAATTACATACATAACAAACATACACTAAAAGCTGGCAACACATTGATACATCTGTGGTTTCATCAAGTTGCATACCAAAATTAAAAGGACTACTTTTCAGTTCTGACATAACTTGGTCCAAGATATCATTTGAAAGATCTGCTATTCTGGAACAAATAACATTATTAGAAAGTGGAATTTCTTCAACCTGTTTTCTTTCTTTTTTTCCAAGAATTAACTCCACCATTTCAAGTGCACAGGGTTTTATTAAGGTTTCTCCAATTGTATGTGGTTTTTTTTTTGGCAATCAAATAGGCAACTTTGTAAGAAGCCTCAACAAGTGGTTTCTTTGGTTGAGCAAATCCAACATTTTTTAATGTTCTAGTGGCTTGAAATCTAGCTTGCTTCAGTTTGAAGGTATCCAGGTTGTAGTTGACATTTCCAGGATGTTTGGTTTCTAAGTGGTGGCATAACTTTGCTGGTCTCATTCTATCATTACAATATACTGCTCCGCATAAGAAACATTGTGGCTTTTCAGTGCCATCTTTTTCAGTAATAGTCGTGAATCCAAACGCAACGTAGGTTTCGTCATAGCAACGTTTTTCGACATTATTGAAAACTGAAAATGGTAAAAAAACACATATTTTAAAAAGAACTGAAATAATTAAAAAATCACAAATATAAATTACAAGTTATGTTAGAAACAGCAGATCAAATTTTTTAGTTAATTTATTCAATTAATTGTCTTATTTTATTAATTTTATTGAAAAAGAAACTCATGCAGGGTATCACAAAAAACGCGACAGAAAGAAAATGAGGGATTTATGAAAACAGAAATGTGCAAATCATTATTCAAATAGATACAATATGGAAAGCCGTTACGCAAAAACAATTTTCGTATAGTATTCAAAAAATCGTTTTTAGCATGATTAAAATTTTGTGATTTAACAAAACTTTATAAAATTATATAAATTTATAAAATACATGTAAATAGAACACCTTAGTTGGCCTCCCCTAAAAGATCATTTGGCCTCCCCAAGGGAGGCCGGCCCCACCGGTTGAGAAACCCTGTTTTATACGCATGCTATTTATAATCTTTTTTGAGATATTTAAAAAACGCTCTGCTAACGTCTATAACGAAATAATGTTCTTTTCAATTTATAAATGTTATTCAATCTATAAATGCCCGTACTTAAAGGCATTACTTGAAGGTCTTGGATAAAGCTCCGCCTAATCAGAAACTTATTGTCAGGTCGGTTTGGATTTTATTCCTTTCATTTTTATTGATTTTAATTTCTTAGTTTGCTTTGGGATTTTTTTTGATGATTTCATCGAGACCTTACTTTGTGTATGTGCCTCTCTTAGTTTTGTTCATTATAGTGATGATTTAGCGATGATTAAAAATTCTTCATTTGACAACACAACAACAGGTTGATAGTATCTGTACTGGATAACTTTCACTTCAACTTGAGCAAAAGCCAATTTTCATTTCAATCATTCAAAGGTTTCAGTGAATTATTTTATCAATTAAATTTTATGATTTAAAATACTTCTCAAAAGTTTAAATATTTTTTCTTTATACACTTTTTTTATAGGCGATTCGAATCTAAAAGAGGTTGAAAAGATTTCGCAATCTGAAGAAAACACGAAAGCAAAAGTTGATGGCGAAAATATTCCTTCTCCCGTTAGCGTGGCTGATGACGACGACAACGATGACGACGATGATGGGAACGAGCAGGTAGATGATGAGATGGATGTGGATGCAATAGATATGGCGGCTGTTGATGCTAATGAACGAGATGCCCAATTGATGACTGAAACTGAAGACAAGTACAAAGGTCTGCTGTAGTACCAGTAATTTGCTTCATTGATTTAAGAGTAAATGAAAGAATATGGCAAAAGTAAAAAAAGTTATTGATTATAACGACGATTCTTTTTATGTAATAATTTCCTTTTACCAACTTGAATTTTTGCTTCGATTTTATTTTTTATCTTCATTTTATATTGAAACAAAAAGGTTGGCTCTTGTGTGAACCGACGAAGGCCACGCACATCCACATGACCCTCATGAACCACGTCATGCCCAAGTTACACAAGTGCCTCACACATAAAGTAATTGCTTTTTTTTTCATATTTTATTTCTTATATTACAAATTTTTTTAACATAGTAGTGATATTATGACAAAAATCATCACATACGCGTGTGCATACGCTCAAATGCATCCATGAAAGCTCGCCCACAGTACTTACCAATACATAAAATAATACTAGGCAAAGAGTGATGACCAACACAGACTGGCTCAGGCAGGCAAGTATGCCGAGGATGAAGAAATCTTGAGGGTACCTGTTGCGCTGGCCATGGTCAAATTGCTGCAGGGACTTCCCAAGGGATCACTTGAAAGAAACATCCATAGGTTGATATTTTAATGTATATTTTTCAACAGCAATTGCATAACTTCCTCAATTTAAAATGTATCTCTTGACGGGAAGATTTTTTCTAATATAAGTATTGATGTCAATTTCAAAATTTTTCAAATGCAGCATAATTGTGAAGTTGTGCTTCTTCCTGGGATCACGTGCCGAGGACATCCGCAACATGTCGCGCGACACCCTCAAGAAAGTACTCATGAGCTTGGGACCTTCCTTCGCCCTCCTCATCTTCAAGGAGATGAAGTCACACCTGCACCGCGGCTTTCAGGTTGGAATGGTGTGGGGTCCTTGGTGATAGTGATGATGATATGGATGATGATGGTGATAATTGGGATGATGAGTGTGGTGATGATGAGTAAGACGAGTATTTTAATGAGTTCGGGTTTTGGATGTTGATCATGACGAAAACTGGTACCTGGGCTGCAGTTGCCGAATAACTTCTTCCATGTTTTTATTGGAGATATAATAAATATCATCATTAATATGTAGTTAAGATGAGTTTACGATCTAACAAATGAGAGTATGGCATACAGATTGGCGTAACGAGATTGTTTATAATACTCTAACTGAACCACAACAACAACCACAACTACACAGCTGCATGTTCTCTGCTTTTCCATCTGGTCGCTGCTAAATGAGATGAACAATCAGTGCAGGGAGGATAAGAAGGAAGGAAGGAAGGAATTCCTTCATCCAGGTGATCTCGATCCATGCATTCCATTACTTAATGAGGTTTGTTCTTTCTTCCAAGCTTGCCAGTTAGCACAGAATTAATTATCGCTGTTATTAGTTTCACCAACTTTATTTGTTCAAATTAAGGTCTTCCACAAAGAGTTATTTGGTGATGTATCGGAGGAAAAAGAAGTTGAAGCTATTTCTCAGAAACTTTTTGAGGCCAAAACGACGAAAAGTTTTGATGCTTATAAACTGCTCTCCATACACATCGGTATCGAATCTCTACCCAAAATTGTCATGCCGTTGAAAGATGTCGGTTAACATTTATTTTACGTTTTGTAAATTTTTGATTTCTTTCATTTTACTTGTTTAAATTTTTTCCACTTGAATTGTATATTTCTATATTTTATCCATATTTTATTTGCTCCAAGGTCCTTCGTGAAGCTAGGAGCCACAAAGTTGTGAACAAAGTAACAGAAGCCCTGACCAAAATATCACAAGGCATCCTTGAGAACCGGTCATTGGCAAACCACATGGACTTCATGTTGTCGTTCATCTACTCTCTGACTTCGGAATCACTTGATAACTTCTTCAGCAGCAAGTAATTAGTTGCAGATTTTCATTTGGGGATTGTTCATTTTTGTGTTACTTCAAATAAGCTGCTGCTTCTTTTATACAAATTTCAAACTGGGATGCAGTAAATTTTAACATACAAATCAAATGAAAGACAAATTAAGATTAAATTTTTCACTGTTTACATCGATGTAACAAGCACCATCAAATCTGATGAGAGCAAGTATGTCAAGCCAGATGTTCGACTTCAGCCTGAAAGTTGCCTCATCCTTCCCGCTCAACCAGCACGAGGCGGTTCCAAGCCAAAGTCCGATGCCAAAGCCAACCTGCATGTACTCATCGAGTTTGCATTGAATGTGAGGTTTTTTTCTTGATTCATTAAAAAATATGCAAAAGTTTAACTTATTTGATTGTTTGAATTCTTCTTGCAGCTCCTGCATCTTTTCTTGAAACATTCACACATTGATGGCAAGGAACAATTCCATCTGGAGAGCATCGATCCATTTGTTGGGGTGTTGCTGAAGTCTCTGTCCAGCAAGCATACCAAGGTTTGTTCATTCAGTGCTTGGTATTTGATGTTGGTAACATTATTTGGCAGCTACTCACATTGACTGAATGTTATTGAACTGATATACAACAGATCCATAACAAAAACCGATCGATTTCAATGAATAAGATAATCTATTGACCATTAACGTTGTTTATCAGGTGTGCACTGCGACTTTGAAATGTCTGACTTGGCTTCTCAGACTGCCTCTACCCTCTCTCCATCCAAATATGAACACCATAGTCAACCAGCTATTCATCATCTTTAAGAACTTTGCTTCGGTGGTCGGTGCCGGTAAAAATGAACATTCAGAGATGGCAGATTGGTGCTTCAAGGTTTGCTTGCTTATTCGCTGAATATGCTCCGTTGATGTTACGTGAAATGTTGATCGTATCTCATACGTTGATGCATGCTTCACTCAAAATGCTTGAGTAAAGCATGTATCAGCGTTAGGGCTGTCATTTTTTTATTAACTAATCTATCAACCGGTTAACAATTCATTCTTTCAATTTATTTAGCCATATCACCTATCACCAAATCAATTAATCGTTCACTCACTCATTCATTCATTCATTCATTCATTCAATCAATAAATGACTAGGTGATTCGAGTAGTAGTCCAGTTTGTTTCGTACCACAACATCACCCAAGAACAACTGCACGTTTTGTTGTCCTATGCCGAGCAGGACCTCCACGATTACTCCAAACATGCAACTGCATTCCCCCTCCTACACGTTTGTTCTCTTCAATCTGTTGTTTCATTGACTCATTATGTTGTTGGTTTTAATATGATTAGCTCAGTTTATTGACTGACTGGCTGGCGGGCTGACTGACTGACTGATTGTATTGTTGACTGATTGATTATGTTGGCTTTTATCAGAAATACATCTTCCATGTTCTCTATTATTTTTTCAAGTCTACATAGTTCAATTATTTAATTTATTTTAATTAAACGTGTCTGCACGTTGAACGCACACAGGCCATACTGTGCAGAAAGTTGGATTCAAAGGAGTTGGGAAGCATCATGGAGACAGTTGAGGAGATGATGATCAAAAGTGATGCGACTGATGTTCAGAGCAAGTGTCGCAAGGTCAGTCTGCATTCAATAATCGCAATCACCGACCTTTCGATGAATTTATTAACCTAAATAGATCGCTATGCCTGCCTGGTTGATCAGCTATGTTTAAGAACGTGGGGTACTAAAATAATTTAATAATTATTTAACCAATGAAGCAAAATCGTTGATTGATAGTTAATCGAATTGAAATTGAAAATGCAGGTGTTGATGACTTACTTGCTGGACTATCCACTGAACATGAAGACGATGGAACAGCATATGAAGTTCTTCACCAAACAGTTGCAGTACGAGTACGAATCAGGAAGACTGGCTGCAGTGGAGATGATCATCAGCATCATCACCGTCTTTCCGATGGTTCACGTTCATTTATCTTAATCTCTTAATATTTGTTGATGTTAAATTGTTTACTAATTTATCTAGAAATGTTTTAAACAAATTTTCAATATTAATTCAAATACTTATTGAACAACGACAACAACAACAGAGCTTACTGAGTGAACATGCCTCCCTGATGTTCATCCAACTGGCACAGGCCAGGCTGAATGATGAGTCCTCCAAATGCATCAGTTTGGTCAGCGATGCCATCAAACTGCTTATACAGAAAGTAAGCCACTGTCGCCATCATTTCTTAAGTCAATATATTTTGTTTCACAGAGACATTTTACATTTATAGATCTTATAAATTCAAGAATTGTTATATTAGTGTTTTAAATATTTAACGAAAGTTTATTTATTAACATTCTCCATGTCTACTCCTGCTTCCCACTGAATAAGATTAACAACGAGGTGGGAGGCAAATTACGGAACATTGCTATGGAATGGCTCAAAAGTTCAAAGGTTACAAACATTTGTCATATTTTTGTTCTTGTATATTCACGAGGTGCTATCAACTTGATTGCTAAAATTCTTATTAATAATTTATTTCATGCAAGTTTTGGTAACTGTTTAATATTTCTTGCAGAAAAATGTTCTAATGCTATCATCGATAATGTTGAGTTTGTTTGTTGAGGTTGAAAAAACAAACTTCCGGCGTCATTTAGACACCTTGCTGCCAACCCTCAAGCAACTCACTGATCCTCAACTATTTCGAGAAGTATGTTCGATTCGTTGATGTTTCATTTTTTACTACTAATCTCGTCTGAACTTTTACTTCAACGCAGTCCAATTATCTTATTTTGCCATGTTTTAGAATTTATTGTGAACATTTTCTTCATTTCTCTCTATACTTTCTTTCTTTTATAATACTTTTGATTTTGGAAAACCTTCATATGACCATCTTGAGTTTCATCTTTTTTGAAAACATTCATATGGCCATCTTGAGTCTCACGTTATTGAAACTTGGGGGCATTTCTCACTAATTTTTTCATAAAATTTCTGAAAAAATTATACTTACATGTTTTTAATAGTTGTATCATCAACAAATAATAATGAAAATAATTGTAACTGATAAAGACAAGAATGAACTTTTATGAAACAAATTGTTTTCTATCACTCAGGGGTTGTTAACAGAGGTGGAGCAGGTGACAACAGACCGATTGCTGTACCATTATCTCGATCTCTTTTTAAACATTTGGAATCACTGTGACGTTGTCAAAGATTCGAAATATCACATCCATATGAATCCTTTGTGGGGTTTGCATGCAAAGCGTTTTTAACTCATCTTTCGTTACACAGATTTTATTTCATCTTCACTTTATTCTGTAGTTTTTGAATTGAGCAATTTGATGAATTTTTTCAAGTTTTTATTTGTTTTAAATTTATTTATTCTTTTATTATATGAATCTAAATATTAATTGGGGATATATAATTTCAGCGAATGTTGAGAGGCATTTAAAATATGAGTACGAACCAGTTCGCTTGAAAGCTTCGCAACTCTTCAATCATTTACTCACGTCTTTATCACCGGATGATGTCGCAAAGTCGTTGTCATCATCATCTTCGTCGTCATCATCATCTACTTCATCATCATCTTCAAAGAACAAAAAACAATTGAAACAAAAGTCAGATAAGAATTTGGATCAACATTTTCTTTATACATTCTCTGAAGAAAAGGTAGCTTGTTGAAAATTTCTATTCTAATCGAAATCACACTTATTTTCTTAAATTTTATTATTATTCTTTGGCTATTGTTTTGTTTTATGGCTAAACTAGTTTTTTTTTATAAAAATATCTTTTTACTGTTTACATTTAAAATAATCATTTAATTTAATCATTAACTCAAATGTATAATGTTATTATGACTGCTACTACTGCTAAAATTATTATTCATGTTCATACACTAAATTAATTTATTCAAATTGATACTGCTGCTAAAATTAATATTCATATTTATACTTTAATATTAATTTATTCAAATTCATCCAGCTCTGTTCACTTATGAAAACATTTTGTTACCAACTTGCATCACCAATCATCTCGCTGGAGCTAGCTACACTGGTTGATTAATTTTTGTTATTTTTTGTTAAATTTAAAAAATTTGTAATTATTTTAATATTTAATTATTCTTCAGTCTCATTAGAATGATTAATAATAATCATAATGATAGTAGTTACAACAGTAGTTTTGATAATTTGTAATGAATAAATAATTTGGTAAATTTTGTTACACAAATTAATCCATTAACCAACTGCTCAGGTGACAGGCAACTTGTTGAGCGTCGCCCAAATTGTCATCAGATTCAATGGTGCTGTTGATGTTGGCCTGGATGATGTTAACAAGAACGCTAAAAAGACTGGTGATAAAAAATGTCTTAGGAAGATTAGAAATAAGAGGAAAAATAACGATGAAAGTGATGTAGATAATGATGAAATTGAGTTAAATGAGGATGAAGACGGTGATGAAGATGAAGATGATGGTGATATGAAAGTTGCTTCAGATGATAAGCTCAAGAACAGACTATCTCTAACGTGGTTGATCAGGAAAGTTTGCAGGGAAGTTCAGGCGGAGGTCATCAACAACAGACAGTGCTCAGTCAAGGTTTTCTATCAAACATTATCTTATTCTCATTGCATTTATCGGATTGCCGTTATTAAATATTGCATTATTTGTAACTTCTACTTTCAGTGTTGTAAAACTTATAAAACATTTAATTACAATTTAATTTAATTTATTTAATTTTGACCGACGTATCGTTTTAGTTTTAGTCTCATTATTCAATTGTCACGTTAACACAATACCTGAGAGGTATGCTGTTATTCATTTATACGCCACAATTGAAAAAATTAATTAATGATCGTTGACAGCGTAATGCCATCTTCGTTTGGTTGGGGGCTCTGTGCAAGGAGTTGGGCGCCGAGAAGATGCAACATCATCTCCCTCTCGTCCTCAAGCCACTCATTCGACAAGCGCTCGATAACTCTGAGGATGCTGGTTGGTTGATTTGTTTGGCTTGTTCAATATTTCGTCGATATTTGATAAGATGAAAATATTCATGATGTGATAAGTTGATATGATGTTGCATGGTTCGTTACTAATAAAACTTAGTGCGGTTTTTTTTAATACTAAGAGGTTTCAACTGCATTTTTAGTCTCAAAGTTGGAAAAAAGTGGATGAAGGATAAATTTGTAATTATTGACACTACTTAAACATTTTTAAATTACTGTTATTTCTTGTTTTATGGGAGTCAACCCTAGATAAGCATTTATTGCTAGGCTGACTCTCACTTTTTTGTGAATAAATGGAATTAAAAATAAAAAAAAAAATTCTCCAGATCCCGCGTTGAAGGTGTTGTGCCAGGAAGTGTTGGATTTAATTGAAGGAATATGTGGAGCAGAAATGTACACCAGGGCATACGCAACTGTCCACAATCAAATCTCAGCTAAAAAATCATCTGTTAAAGCGGCAAAAGTTCTACAGGTACGGGTGTGTTTCTTTCTTCAATTGTTAATACGCTTCAGATTTAATTTGTTTTACTAAAGCATCCTTCAAATTTTGAGGATTTATTTTTACTTTAAATAATAATTAAATTTAAAAAATTATTTAGTTTTTCAACTATTTTTTTTAATTTTCCTATTTTTAACATTCCGATGTAAACATTTTTATCAGCTCAATTATATTTTCACCATCAATCAATCCAACAGGCTGCCACAAATCCAGAAATTTTTGCTAAAAGAAAAATGAAGAAGAACATCACCAAGAAAGAAGCAAAAAAGAGAAAAATTAAGGAGATGAAACCTGGGTCTCGTCCAGTTAAGAAGAGGAAGAGGGACGATTTATGATGGATGGATGGATTGATAAATGAATGAATGAACGAATGAATAAATTGATACACTAATGAATGAATCTATAGATTGATGAATGGCAGGCTCTTGGAACACTTGATTGTCTTTGAAGCTAATTGGTGTGACGGAGTTTCTTTATTAAGCAACTACTTTTTTTGTTTAATTATGTTATGTTGGCTAATGAAATTAATTATATTGTACAGGTACATAAGCATTCAATTATTTAGTAATAAAATCTTTCACCGCACCGTTTTATAAGTTTGTAATTCAAAATTATTTGATCACAATCGATTCAGCCTTTCAAAGTCATTTTTTTTCGTTAGCGTCGATTGTGTGGTGTGATACGTTTATTCTCGTTATAATTTCGAAAATCGTAAAGAAACAGCTAAATGACGGGTGGCATTTGAATTCTAAATTGGCGTCACAACGATATATATGCTTAGGTCTTCTAAAGAAGTGTAAGCTGTGGACATACGGAATGGTTGGATCTAATGCTTTAATAAAAACATAAAATCTATCACGCAACTTTGCCATCATTAAAATCGACGTTTCAAATTTTGAGGTGATGAAAAACGTCTTGCATTTATTAAATTATATTATTTCAACGTGGAGACGTGTAGTAATTGAAAAAACAAAGAAAACTTATAAAATTAAATTTTTATGCATGTGTGCGTACGTACGAGGAACTTTTTAATTCTTCAGCGTTTCACGCTAACAAGCTGATAGAGTTCTAAAGTATAAGACAGAGAATAGAGAAAGTTTGATATTGTTTGCTGTTACGTGTGATGAAATTTCAGACATTGAATACTTCTAGAATAAGATGAAAGTTTATTAATAAAAAAGCTAAATGGGCGAATTGTGGAATGTGAGCGTACGGCTAACCCGATTATTAAAACAAATTTTTCAAAGTTTAGCACCTCTAAAACGCAAACTCGGTAATGTAAATCATCGAAACAACCTGCCTTTTAAATCCAATTAGAACATGGCGGAACAAAAATCAACAAATGATAAAAAATAATTATGATATTAATAAATAGTAATAATATTAGAATGCGACAGAATAAAACTCAACCAGTAACAGAAAAATAATAATAAATAGTAATATTTTTCAACACCAAAAATATTAACACCATATATTAATTACAGAGGTTTTTATTAACAATTTCACAAATTGTTAAGCATTTCAGCGTGCTCATAAATATGCAATCATTATAATTTAATCATTTTTTACTAAATTTATTATATACAAATTAATTGAAGGCACTGTACAATTTATAATGAATCAAACACACTGCTCCATCCATTTAACGGCAGACAATAGAAAAAAGATTTTTAAACTAAAGACAATCTGCAAAATAAAGTTAAAATAACACCAATAACATTGAAATAACGTTATATTTACTATTTAAAACAAGGTATTAACAATTTATTGAAAATACGATAAAAACCAAACTGAATTAGACAAAGATTAAAATGAGATACAACAATACTTTTAAAGGAAAAATGCAGTCAATCAATTATCAATGAATAAACTATCAAGAACATCATCGGCCACAACGACAATTAAACATGCATCATAATGATATTAAAATAGAAAAATTAACAACTATAGTAAACTTAGCACGCCAATACGTTAACAATTGAGGCGTTTTAAAATCTACGTTAAAGCCAATGCATGTTTAATGATACCAAACAATGTAACAAAATATTACAATAAGCACAATTAATGAATAAACGAATGAGTGAAATATATGAATTAATTATTTAATAATCATCATCGTTTGTTGGCTACAAGTATTTCTTTCTCTTCATGTTCAGCATATTTCATTATTTTGCATATGACACGCGCTAAGGTCTGTTAAAATTTCAAGTTTTTATTTTAGATAATTACAATGTTAATTTAACATTACATAGACGCACATTGTAAAATGTCAATTGAGAAGGACAGAACGTGTAGAACGTAAACAGAAAGCACAGGAAATACTCAATCAATGATAAAGTAAATGATTAATTATGTGAAGACATCAAGTTTTCATGATTCAAAAAGAATTAATTCCAATTTGTAAGATAAACCACATAAAGTTTGAAATACATTGAAAACTTTTCAAGCACCTGTTTATCAGGAGTCCCAGTCATGTATTTGTACAATATCGTTTTCAGATACTAAACAAGAAACAAGTATATTAATTAAATTATTAGTTATATTAAATAAATAATCAATTAAATTACTCTTTGATTTTGAAACGAAATAAAAATAAAAAGCTAAAAAAAAACCAAAGCTGAAACTCTCTGAAATCAAATAACCCACAGCCCACTATTACGAATGAAAGAGAATAAGGACCAAATGTACGAATGCATGCACTAGTAAATAGACAAAATGGCAAATGGTTACTTCAAACTCTATGGAAACAATTTGAGAGAGTGATAACGACGATGAAGGTTGGAGTTGCTGAGAAGGAGGTGCGGCTTGATTTTCCATTTTATAGACTGCCTAATTAACCATCGAATAATAAAAATATCATCATCGTCGTCGTCATCATCGTCGTTAATGTTATAATTTCTATCGTTGTTATATTTATATATATATATATATATATATCTATATATATCGTTGTTATATTTATATATATATTTATATATATCTGAAACAGCTTATCCAATAATAATATTGACCGACTAAGAAAGAACAATTGATTACTCGCAGAGTATGAGAACCAACAGAAGGTCGGATTACCCAAGTGATAATGTGAAAGGTATTAATTAAACTATGAGTTTTTATGACAAATAACAGCTCAGCGTGCAAACAATCTTTGAATCCAAATGCGTCTGCTTAATTAACAAGCTTACTGAACGTGTATGTAGGCTACCGTTGAATTGGATTGTATTGTAAAAAGATTTTGTGTTCATTCGGATTCTGTAGAACAAATTCAAATAAAACAGCAGTGTACTTACCGTGTGAATAACTTCATCTTCTACGTTACTTGAACAATCTTGTTTCTGTTTTGAAATACAAAGTTATTTCTACTTAATTAATAAAACAGAAAGTTCTTTCTACTTTATTAATACAAACTTAAATGCATTGATACAAAATTTTGACAACAAAATTTTCTAGAAACCTGAAAATGGTTGAGTTGATGGTTCAGCATTTGGATCTCTGTTTCCAATTCATTTTCCCTTTCCTTCAAATCCTTCCACTCATCTTCCGCATGCATTCGACTCATCTTCACAAAATGTATTAAGCACATTTTATTTCATCAACAATCAAATTTTTTAATAGTTCTAAAAGCGCTTTAAAATTATGATACATCGAACCAAAATGCAACACTGATATGGAAATAATAAACAAGAAAAACCTAAAAATGAAAAAATACAAGCTATTAAAATATTATTAAGTGATTTGGCAACATTTATAAAAACTGAAACAGAAAGACAAGTGGAAAATACGTACAATTATTTTGAGGTCATCAATTTGTGAGCCCTGTTCATCAATGTACTCATCCTTCATTTTCAAGTCGTTCTTCAGTTCTTCAATTTCATCATGCAGTTCATTCAGTCTATCTCGACTTTCATCTTCAAACTTTTCTGTTCACACAGAATCAAATTTGAAAAATATTTTAAGTAAATACATAATTTATAAAAAAAAATACTACATTAACTAGTCGAACAATCGAAATTTTAAATAAATCGAATAAATGAAGAATCGACACCATCAATCATTACATGAAGATTCTTTCACCAACAAATACTTAGAAACACAACAATTGAGACCTAACGATATGGTGAAGTTATCTTGGTACTGTTTCTCCTTCTCTTCCATCTTTACTTGAAATTCTCTGAGCATCTGCTTCACTCTTACGTCATTCTCATCATCACGTTCTTTCATCTCATCTGTATACTCCCGTCTCAGTCTGAAAGTACATTTTTTAAAACAATATTCATTCAATTCGAAAATTATTCATTTGAGAAACACACATACACACCTCTCAATTTCTTTCTGTTTATCATCTTCAGCACTTTTTAAACTAGACTCCAACTCAGTTTTCAATTTTTTGACTTCCTGCTGGAGACTTTGAACTTTCCTTTTGAGATTATCTCTGTCAGTTGTAACTTCATTCAGATCTTTTTCAAGTCTCTCCAGTCTATCTTTGTTCACCTTTTCGTCATCTGAACCATTTGGTTTTGTAAGCTCAAGCAACTTGTTCTTTTCTTCAGTCAATCTGTTGATAACCTCCTTTAAAGAAACAATTTCCAATTTACGATCATTAACTTCTTTATTAAGTGAATCATTATCAGTCAACAACGATTGGTTTTTCAATTGCAAATTTGATAGTGCCTCGGAATTTTGTTTTTTCACGATTTCAACTTCTTCAATCAAGCTTTCTTTTTCGTTTCTTAACGTTAACAATTCATTATCTGCAGTCGTTTGATAATTTTTCAACTCTTTCACTTCAGACTTGACCAGTTCCATTTCTACATCAATATTCTTGACCACATTTACAGACTCTTCAACAGCGTTATTCAGTTTCTCTTGTAACTGCAATTTTTCTTCTGATTCTCTTTTAAAAGTACATTCAAGTTGAAACACTCTTTGTTCTGAATTTGTTAACTCTTGCCGAAGTAAATTGACTGTGTACATATTTTCAGTTAATTCCAATTCTTTTTTATTCAAACAATCTTCAAGTGTTTTAACATTCATTTTAACATTTGATAACTCATTCAAACAGCTGTCGTGTTCTATTATTTTCATTGAAATCTGCTCATTTAATTCATTAATCTTCATTTCAATGATAACAATTTCTTCCTTATAATTAGCAATTTCATTATTTTTAGCAACGAGTTCTTCCTTCAAATCATCAGCCATTTCTTCAAGAGTTAATATTTTATCATTAAACTGACTTTCTTTATCATCGTACCCTATTATTTTATCATTTAATTCTATTATTCTTCCTTCTTTTAGCGATAAGCTGGTATTGGCTGATGCCAATTCATCATTCAATCTGGATATCTCATCCTTGCAAGATGTCAAAGAATTTGTAAGTTCGGCAACTAATTCATCGGCATCCGTCCTCTGCTTTTTTAATTGTTTCAATTTCGCTTCCGCCTTCTTTTTCAATTCATTATTCTTTTCAATCCAATCTTGTTTTGTAGTTTTAAATGTTTCTTGCAATTTTTCATAATCTAACAATTTCTCAGAAAAACTTGTTTTTAAATTTTCAACTTCTTTTTTTAGCAGTTCATTCTCTTTTGATTTCTCATCAAGTTGTTTGTTGATGTTCAGCACAGTTAGTTTTAAATCTTCCAGCCCATCAGATCTTTCTTGCAGCAAATTTTTCTCAGAAGACCTCTGTGAAAGTTCGCTTTGGAGGTTGTCAAACTCAAGTTCGAAGCAGGACAATTTAATTTCCTTTGTGTCAAGTTCTATCTTCAAACTACCAATCATAACATCCTTATCAGAAACTTCTTTGTCCAGTTCTGAAATTTTCGAGTTTTTAGCGTCGATTTCTTTTTTTATTAAATTTAATTCATTTTCATAGTTGTCTCGTAATTCGTGGATTGATTTCAATTTTTCTTGGTTGAAAATTTCAATTTTTTCATTCAGAAGAGTTTCATTTTTAGTAAGCTCTTCAACTTTTTCACTGTGCCTAAGATTCAATTCATTGATGGCTTCATCTTTTTCGATAATTAATTGCTTCAAATTTTCTATTTCGTTTGAAAATTTTGAAACTGAAACTTCATTATCGGTTTTAAGTTGTTCAATTGAAGATTTATAATCATTCAATTCTTTCATATGTTCCATTAATTTCGTTTCATTAGCTTTTAATTCGGAATATTTTTTTTCAAAATCAATTTTCATATCTGCCAAAGTTTTATTGAGTTGGTCGATAATGATATTTTTAGCTTTAATATCCTCAATATAAGCATCGTTTGATGCTCGCAAGGCTTCAATTTCAGCTGAAAGATAGGTTCTAACATTGGACAATTCAACTTCACTTTTCTGCATCACTTCTTTCAAATGATTGCTTCTATCAAGCTCGGCTGCTTCAAATTTATCTTTTAATTCTTTAACTTCATTATTCAAATCATTTACAATCGTATCATATGTCTGCTTCTCCTCAGACAAAGAAATTTTCAAAATTTCACAAGAATCTGATTTTTCACTTAATTGTTTTCCAACCTCTTCCAAGCAAGCCAGTTGATCAGCATTTATTTTGGAACATTCACTTATAATCTTTTCACTCTCTTCTAATTTGACAGCAATTTTATTTTTTTCGCTTTTCGTTTCCAGCAGATCATTCATCAATTTAGATATTTCAACCTCCAAATTTTTGCACTTTTCAGAC